TCTGATCAATGAATGGCAGCGGGAAGTGGTCCTTCCGAGTGGCGTCGTTGAGACGCCGCTAATCAATGCAGACACAGTACCTTGTCACCGTGCGCATCGGGATCAGCTCATTCTTCTCGTTAGGCACCACAGTCATCCCACCCTTTTTAGGTACCACCTGGGTGGGACTGATCCACTCGCTGTCGGAAATGGCAAAGATGATCCCCGCGTCCAGCAGCTTCACGATCTCTGCCCGAACCACAGCCTCCAGGTTCGGTGTCAATCTTCTCTGCGGCTGTCTCACTGGCCGCATCTCATCCTCCATCAGTATCCGGTGGGAGCAGAAGGAAGGGCTGATCCCCCGGATGTATGTGATCTTCCACGCGAGAGCTCGCTCGTACCGCTTCAGCAAGGCCACCAATCTGTTCTTCTGCTCGGGTGTGAGGGTCGAGCTGATGATGACTGGCAGCTTATTCCCCTCCCAGAGAAATGCATACTCCAAATAAGGAGGGAGGGGCTTAAGCTCCAGCTCTGGTGGTTCCTCCAAGGAAGTAGCGATGCGGGTGGAGGATGAGATCGGTTTGAACAGCCTGTCGCCCTCCAAGAAGGGGCCACTCTCCAACTCGGCCAACTGCTCCGCCAGCTGTGGCTCCTGCGATGCCTGCTCACCTAGCAAAATACAACGCTCAAGAGCATCGTCAGTACCCGCACTCGATATAGCGAGTGCGGTCTCAAAATCAGTAAGCATATCACAATAATCTATGTCATCATGCGAATGAGAGTGTTTCCCGTTCTCAGACACAGAGAAAGTAGCTTGTTCATCACCAGCACGCAGAATCAATTTACCACTATGCACATCAATAAGCGCCTTGGCGGTGGCGAGAAACGGTCTACCCAAAATCAAAGGTACATCCACATCCTCATTTATATCCAAAATAACAAAGTCAACATGATATGTGAATGCACCCACATTAACAAGAAAGTCCTCAATGATACCCCTAGGATGCACGATAGAACGACCAGCTAAATGAATGTTCATCCTAGTAGCTCTAGGTTCACCTAGGTCTAGCTTCTTAAACAATTTGTAAGCCATGACATTTATGCTAGCGCCTAGGTCCGCCAAGGACTTTCCTACATGCATACTGCCAATAACAAGAGGGATAGTGAAACTCCCTGGGTCTTTTTGCTTCTCAGGCAGCTTGTTCTGCAGGATAGCAGAACACTCCTCGCTCAGCATCACTGTCGAAAGATCCCCAAGTTTCTTCTTGATGGTGAGGAGGTCCTTCATGAACTTGGCATACTTGGGCATCTTTGACAGTGCCTCCACGAACGACATGCTGATGTTGACATGCTTCAACATTGCCATGAACTTGGCAAACTCAGTCTCCAGCTTGTCTTTATGTAGGCGAGTGGGGAAAGGAAGCTGGGGTACATGCTCCTTAACCACTGGCTGTGGCTTGGGAGCAGGCGTTTCTTTGTCTTCCCCCACTTCTGCATTATCAGCTGGAAGTGTTGAAGGAGGTAGTGGCTCATCTCGACTGGGCTGGGCAGGAGTAGCTGATGTGGTCTTGCCACTCCTGGTAGTGATGGCATCTAGCTGCTGGTGCTGGTGAGGCTCACGAGGATTCGGAATTGTGGTGACAGGAAGAGTCCCCGGTGCCCTGGTAGTGTTTTGGCGGGCCAAGATACCCACCTGGTTCTGCAGATCTTGCAAAATGGCACCTTGGTTCCTCTGACCTGCCTCCAGTGAGGCTATGCTCTGGTCCAACCTCGTGACAGTTGCCTGAGTGCTACACATGAATGAAGCTAGAATATTTTCCAGCTTCGTCATCTGATTATCTGGAGCCAGAGCTGCTGCTGGCTTGGCATACTACGCTGGGGCTGCTGGAATGGTTGCCCCTGCCTAGGCTGGTAGGGCTGCTGCTGTGGGGCTGGCCCCTGTCTAGCCTGGAAGGGCTGCCTCTGCTGAAAACCACCAGCTGGTGCTGGGAAACCAGGTGGTTTAGTGGTGTTGCTGCTCCAAGAGAAATTGGGATGCTGGCGCCACCCCTCATTATATGTATTGCTGTACGGGTCGAGGCGCCGAGCATTGGCGATGAAGTCCAACTGCTCTTGGGGAGTAGTAGACTCCCTCATAGCCTGGCAGTCTTCCACTAGGTGATTTGAGCTCTCACACCACTGACATTGAGCTACTGGAGGTGTAGCCAAACCTCTGCCCGGAATAAGACTGTTGGGCTGCTTCAATGTCTGCATTAACTCAGCTACCTACTGCTCGAGCCCGGATCTGGTCTCCATGGCGTGCACACCACGGTCCCGGGAATGTCTGCCTCTACTGCTCTGCCCCCAAGAATGATCTCTGGCAGCCAAGGTATTGATCATCTGGTTCAGCTCGGGTGGAGTCTTAGTAAGAATATCCCCTCCTGGGCATAGAGACTCAATCACCCTCTGGCTGTCCGGAGAGAGAGCGCTGTAGAAGTTCCCCACTGTGAATGCATCACTGAAGCCATGATGGGGACACTTCCAGAAATATCCCATGTACCGCTCCCATGCATCACGAAGTGACTCGTCTGGCTCTTGGCGGAAGTGAGTGATCTCCCGTTGGATCTCTGTAGTCTTCGATGCTGGGTAGTACCTGTGCACAAACTTATCAGCCAGATCATCCCAAGAAGTGATGGACAATGGGGGCTGGGTCTCCAACCACCTCTTGGCATTCCCCGCCAGAGAATGGGGGAAGAGGTGAAGGCGGATTGCATCATCAGGGACACCGTTCAGCTTGAACCCGTTCATCAATTGCAGAAAACGGGAAAGATGTACCCTTGCCTCCTCATCCTTCAAGCCATGGAACTGGATAGAGGATGTAATGAGTTGAATCAAGCATGGCTTGATCTTGAAGTTTTTTGCTGGAATAGGCGGGTAGAGGATGACCGGGCGGATGTCAGCAATCCGTGGAGTGTAGTAGTACTCCAAGGTGGGACCCGGCGGCGGTGGATGATGATGAACCCCATCTGCCTGGGGGATGGGGTTGTTCCCCAGGACCTGATTCACCAGGGGAGCCTGCTGAGGATTCCCCTGGTGTGGATTGTAATCTTCCATCTCGTACTCGTCCTCGGACTCGCTGCTCAAATGGTCGTCTATGCGCTCTTCCGTAGCCAGTCTAGCTCGCTGTTGTCTCCTGAGTTGGAGACAGGTGCGTTCAATCTCTGGATTCAACGGCAGTAAACCTCCCGATTGGCTACGGGTCATGCACTACCTGCACACACTCAAGCAAGCAAACCCATGAAGGCACAAGTGGGACAAAGGAAACAATTGGAAAAGAAAAGCTAAATTAACAGAAATCACTTTTCTTCAACAACCTAGCCGTCCCCGGCAACGGCACCAAAAACTTGACTCACTCCTATTGTCACTCTAGAAAATGGCCAAGTGAAACCACTTCCCAAAGCGTAGTATAGCGGATTTGGGTTTTAATGTCAACCCGGGTCCTAGATTTGATGACTACTCGGTGAATTCTTGTTATCTAGCAATGAAACTTTAATGCAAGTCTAAACTAACAAACAAGCAAAGCAAATAAACGGTTGTTTTCAGGTTAAGAGAGGTCACCCGGATATGGTTCCCCCTAGACTGCAGTTAAGCCGGATTGCAATTACCAAGTTCAATTTCTATGATAGTTATACTGTGGAAGGTTCTTAAGCAGTCTGAAGTCTCGACTAAAGGTCTGCAGACCCTCTCAATCTGAGTCTCTAGCGGGCGACTAACCTCCACCGGAGTAAACAGATTGAGGCACTAACGAACAAAACCTCCACTACCGAAGTGAATTCGGTACAGAATAGTGAGTTGGCTCCTCGAATAAAGTCACCAACTCCCTACCTTCAACCAAGGATGCTCTATCAACCTAGGAAGATATTCTCATTCTAGGTTAAAGCAGAAATAACAGGAATTTGATCAGGATTCAAGTCATTCAATCATTCAAACCTCAATTGAATATAATCAAATCATAGAATCAATACTTGGGTTCATACAATCAAACCTAACATACAAATCTAGGGTTTCCCATACCCAGATGAATGGGAGAACTACTCCATGGAGAAAGAAGCAAAAGCAGATTCAGACGCGGAAATCATACTGTGAAGGATGGATTTCTGCTCCTGGACGTTGATCGGCACTTCTCCAAGCTCAAGCCAAGCTCCAATGGTGATGAATATCAAGCTAGGGCACTTGAGAACTCTTGTTCGTCACTTTTTCTCTCTAGGAATCGCTCTGTCTCTCTAAAACTCGAATCCCCTTCTGTTTTGGCTGAAATCTGCCTAAAAGGGCATCACTGGGCAAAACAAGGTCGAGGGCACGGCCGTGTTCTGCTCCAACCCGCCCGTGCCCTTGCCAAGTGTTAAATACATGGCCAGACTTATGGGGAAAACACGGGCGTGCTTTTGGTGGACACGGCCGTGTTCTGTCTCTGTCCTGCCTGTGTTTTGAGCTAGTGTTTGACATACTCATATCAAGTCTCGGCAGTAAAAACACGGTCTAAGGAACACGGCCGTGCTTTGATTTAGGCGTGCCCGTGTTTTGGCTCCAGCTCGACCGAATGACTTCCGAATGCCCCGAAACTCGTGCTTAGCCTTTCCTTCACCGTCTGGGACCTGAAATATGACAAAGTAGCACAACCCGGCGTAAAATAGGCCAAAAATACACGACTATGCCCCTCAAACGGATAAGAACTAGGGATGCGAATATGTGCAATTACATCGTTATCACAGGCATTATTTCATATGCGTAAGTATGCGAAATTCCTGAAAGACCTCCTCTATAAGAAGAAGAAGCTGAGCGAGCTGTCCACTGTGGAGCTCAGTGAGGAGTGCTCGGCCATTCTGCACAACAAGCTTCTGCAGAAGCAGAAGGACCCAGGTAGTTTTACTATCCCATGCTCGATTGGTAAATTGCATGTAGAGAGGTCCTTGGCAGACCTAGGTGCTAGCATTAACGTTATGCCATATAAATTCTTCTAGAAACTAGGCCTAGGTGAACCCAGTGCAACAAGGATGAGTAATCAATTAGCTGTCCGATCCATAGTTCACCCTAGGGGCAAGGTTGGAAGATTCTTTTATCTTGCGGATTTTGTTGTCTTAGACATCAATGAGGACGCAGAAGTGCCCCTATACTAGGAGGTCCACCGCCAAGGCTCTCATAGATGTGCATGATGGGACCTTGATTTTGTGGGATGGTGAGGAGCAGATAACATTTTACTTTGCTAATAATATGTTTGCTTTATCACCTTTGCATGTTGTCTCTCACCGGGTGCACGAGTCTGTCGTGTATCCCTCTATGCCTTCCGTTTTGCAAGACTCTCCTCCTGTACCTTCACCACGACTCCCGTCCGTCCCGTCACCAAAAGAAAAGATCAAGGAGGAGTGGCGGCCAAAACTACAGGTAGCTAAGCCTGCTCAAAAGAAAGCTGGAGACCACTATGAGCTGGTCCCGGCTCCGGAGCCACGACCGCCCTGTCCATCCAAGTATTCACTCGCTTGCATCCTGCTGGATGGCCAGGTTGAGCTGACATGTGTTGGTGGTCACACTCTTCGTGTGCATGGCCACCATCTGAAGTTGTACCTCAAGAGCGATGTGGATCCTCTCTTGGAGGCACCTATTCCTACACCTCTCTGAGCATCCACTCTCTGCGTCCAGCTAAAGACGTAAAAGAAGCGCTTGTGGAGAGGCAACCCCACCATGGATTGCTTTTTTTTTTTTTTTGGGTTTTCCACTTGGAACTATGGTTTCTATCACCCATTGTGTTTTGATAAATCTAGCTCGGTTCCTTTAAATTGGTCCCGTTCGAGTCCCTTGCTCTTGACTGGTCTGCCACAGTTCCCGCTCATCATTTTCTAGTAACATCATTCCCCTTTCCTCTGCTCCATTGAGGACAATGTCGAACTTAAGTATGGGTGGGGGGGGGGGTGCTTTGTATTTATTGGAACATATATATGTGTGCTTGGAGCCTAGTCCGTTGTCCAAATCTCGAGAATTGAGTACTCCAAGTACTGATGTTTGCATGATCATGTTGGCACTATGGTTTGCGTGGTGAATTGAATGGCTGTTAAAGTTTATGCATGACAACTTGATTGTGACTAGGACAACCTATAATGATGACCTAGACTTGCAATAGAGTTGTGTAGGGGTTCAGTTTTTCAATTTTTTGCTTACCAACTGTGACTTGGATTGATCACTTATTATCTATAGTTGTTTATGCATCTAGTTCAATGAATCAAAATGAGAGATAGTGCATATAGGTAGCCATGTGAGATTTGAGCCTACTCATTTCTTTCTCGTGCGATAGATCCCTCTTCCATGATGTGTAGCATTCACGTTGTGTCTAGTTAGGATGATGGAGGCATAGGATTAGCCAACGACCAAATTGACTATCCCTGTGTGTCAAACCCCTAGTCAGCCCCTTTGAGCCGTGTAACTTTCTTTCTTCTGGTCTACAATGAAAAATCATTCTTATGCATCTCTTAGAGGTTCCATAGAGTGATTTTTGCATCTATTCTGTTGTTTTTGCTGAAAATAATATGAGGGTTGGAGGTAGTTCTTAAAAAGTGGGCATGTTTGCAAGGAAAAGGATGTGTAAAAGTGGTGGTTCTCTCGAGAAAAAAAGAGAAGTAGAAAAAAATAAATGAAAACAAAAGAGAACCACCATAAAAATCTTTATCATGCTCGTTAATTGTGTTTCTTAGCAGTCTGGCTTAGAATTACTAGCATCATTGTGACCTCCTTCACTCTTGTACTCTAAAGAACTGGATTAATACAGAATGGAAGAAAAAAAGGTAAATGGTTTGAATGATTGTAACTGTGTTGGTTTTGGACCTGTGGAACCTTGTGTTATCACTTCTTCCACCACCTAAAAGGCCTTTTCCCCAAGTCCAAGACTCTAGCCAGTCCTCTGAACCCGTGTCTAAGACCTACTGACTAGTTAGTGGTGACACTCGATATGTGAACTCTAGCATTTAGAGGCTGCCATCATGGTGAAGAGACGTTAGGATTGAGAGAATAAGCATGCGCATTTTTCACATCAAAATGTCCTGGCCCCACTGGTCGAGAGTGAGTGATTAATTTCCTTATATTCTTTACATTCTTTACCCCGGTGAGGACCTAGATTGCTCGATCTTGATTATGATGTTTTGAGTTTTATGCATGAGGTGACTATCTTGAATAAGTGGTTGCGTCAAGTCTAGGTTGTTTGGTAAACAGAAGGGAGACTCTTCCTTTACTCGATTTTCTGCACTCGAATGTCATTTGTGGTGGTTGTCTAGGTTGCTGTTGAGGTTGTTCATGTGTTGATGTCTAAAAGCTAGTATGATTCACGTGTTGTGTGCTCATATGATGTGTCCCGAAAGTTTGCATGATTAAAATGGTTTGTGCTTACCTTTTATCTAACTTGGTTTGCTTGGGGACAAGCAAACGCTTAAGTGTGGAGGGATTTGATAACGTCATATTTGCATATGTTTGCACCCTTATATCTTAATCGTTTTGACTCGATTTTGTTGCTCCTTGGCCTATTTTATGCTAGGTTGTGCTATTCTGTAATATCTCAGATCCTAGCAGGTGTATGAAGGTTTAGGCGCAAGTTTCGGGTTGTTTGGAGATCATTTGGAGATTCTGGAGATGAAATACGGGCAGGCAAGGAGAAAAGCACGACCGTGCTTTTCATCATCTTGCCAGTGCTTTTACTGACGAGAGTTAACCATGAAGAGTGATGAAGAAAACCAAAGCACGGGTAGTGGAGGAGAAAAGCACGACTGTGCTTAGTTAAACACCGCCAGTATTTCACCCAAACTTGCCCGTGTTTCTCCCGTTTTGCACTAAGTGAAACGCGCATTTTTGGCAAAGCACGGTCAAGGGAGTAAGCACGACTGTGCTTCTGCCCGAATTCGCCCAAATAGGGTTTAAAGAGGTAGATTCGAGCCCAAGGAAGGGGATTGGACTTTTTGGAGAAAAACAGAGTTCTAGAGGGAGAAAGTGTGAAGAACAAACCCTAGGAGCTATTTGGAGTGGATTTGTCACCATTGAAGCACATATTGCATCCCCAGGAGTGAAGATTGAAATCCCAGAGCAGATTATTCCCATCTTTATGAGCATGACTGCTTCGATTTTGGTTTTCCTCTATCTCTCTATGGAGTAGACCTTTCTCTCACTTGGGTATGAAGAACCCTAGTTCCATGTGTTAGGGATCTTGATTGTAATGACTTTTGGATTGATATATTGTTTGATTATAAATCAATTGAAGTGTGTTTATTTAGTCAATTGGATCTTGATCAACTTCTTTTGATTTTTGCCACCAGAACCTTCATCATCTACCTTTTCGGCCAAATCTCTTGGCTCAACTATCACACCATGATTGGTTCCTACACCTCCACTCACGCCTTGCTAAGTGTAGATCTACACCGAGTTTTGTTGCCAATTTTCTTCTCCTTCTTTGTATACAACAACTCCTTGACTCTACAATTCACTTCCGTCTTCATTGTCCTCTATTTGCTTGAGCTTAAGCCAAAAATGCTGAATGAATTTAATGTTTCTATGAAAAGTTGGGGTGGGGTGCATATCCAAAACCGCGCTCATCTTCCACATTTACGCATCAAAGGCGGTTGTGTTAGAGCGCAGGTTCCAATTAGGTGGAATTAGAAAAGTAACAGATAATCAAAATTTATTTTCGACTAACCATCCTGAATCACTTCTAGTTCATTAATAAAAAAATTAACTGATAATTGATCATCCAATTACTAGTTAATCCATGCTTGTGCAAGGCTGAGTGTAGGAGGCTTGCACGGTGATTCAGGGAGTTAACGTTGATTCGATAAGGGAATGGATGATTCGCTATACAATGACTGATCTCTTCCAAGTAAATAACAATGGAGAGTTCCCAAAAAGAGAGAATACAGGGAGGTTCCTAGAGAGAGAGGCCAAAAGTCCTCTTCTAAGTGTAGTAAATGTGGTATTTATATCCTACTTTGGTTTGGTGGGTGAATCCTGGTGACAAATCAAGGTAGTCTTAACAGATACACGGGCCCACCGACGTCCCTTCTGTGGGTTCCGCTGCGCGGGATCCACCGGCGTTTCTTCCACAAATCCTGTTGGGAATGTGCGGACTTCTTGCGGTGTTCACCGAGTGAGCGGAAACGTCTAAGCGCGGCACGTGCCTTTCACGCGTCCTTCTCGGCCTTTCCATCAACAATCCACTAACAAAACAATATAATTCACAGAGAGTACATAAAAGTTAACTTCTCACGTAAAAAAATTTTCAATTACCCATAAACAAATAAATGATTACAGTTATAATCAAATCTAAACGAACCTACTAACACATATAATCCTAGGTGATTTTTCGATCATCACTAAGCATGCTTTTCTTACCTTTTTATTATTATATTGGGTGGGTGGATGGATAACCCTATATCACAATTGTAATTTTCTAACTGTCAGAAATGACACTGTATAACGGTCATAACCTCACAGGTATTAGGCGGTGTGTGCATTAGTTAGTTTTTTTTTCTTTTAAGATTGTGCATTAGCTAGTAATGTGACACTATTTTATTAATGGTAATTGGTAGGCGGGGTGGCAAGTGGGCTGCCTACTGCATTCCCACACTATCTTTTTAGCATAATATAGTTTTTCCGTAACGCTTACCACAATGCCTTTTCAGTTTCACTTTTAATTTTTTTTTTTTTTTAAAAGTTTCACTTTTAAAATTTGTACACATTATCCTCCTCGTTGCATTAAAAACATACCAAATTTTAGGATTTGTCCTAATATGGGTTGGATTAGGGGTGGGCAACGGGAAACGTGTATTTGGGTATATCCATATCCGCCCCATTTTTTAGGGTTACGGGTATTCAAATACCTGTAACTTTTTATATTGGATAATGGATGGGACTTGGAAACAAACAATTTTACAATGGGTACCCACCAGTTACCCATTTGGAATTACGGCTACCTGTACTATCCATGATACCTGCCTATAGTCCAGCCCATAACTAATTTTCTACTGGCATAACATGGATTCTACATAAGCAAGCAATCCCAACCAGAAACGCATGGAACATATATACTAATTAACTAATCCTCATAGTAAAACTGAGCCAATTACAAATGCCAGCTATGAAAATTATTCCCTCCCACTCTGTCCAAACAACGATGTACTGACTACTGGGTACTGAGAAGAAGAATTGATAGCTTTTGCATAGTTAATTTTGTTTTTGCACTTTTTCTTAAGAGAGTTGAGAAACCATAGCAACGGCGAGGACCGAACCTAGGACTTCTCTATCACTGGTTCGCCTTCCCTATCACCAAGCTATGTAACCTTTGACAAAAGATAATCATATATTGATATAATCAGATCGATAATTACATCCTGGAATTCAGCCAGGCCTGAAAGTCAAAATAACGACATGTAGTCGGGAACAAAGACAGGGCCTGTCTAGCTACACTATGAGCTACCCTATTGCTACCCCGACCTACAAATCGTACAATGAAACCCGGATAGTCCTTCAAAATCTGCAGAATCTCCTCCAAAATCGCCCCAATCCGACCATCCCTTGCATCCGCCCGACACAGCTTCTCAATAATTATCTGGGCATCACCTTCGAACCTCATTGACACAAAACCCTGCATTATACACCAGCTGATCGCTTCGCGCAGGGTAAGAACCTTTGGGAAAGAATTGATAGCTTTGTTCTATTGCAACTTGTATATATATTTTTTAATTTCTTTCTGTTGGGCAAATTTTGTTCGATTACTTCTATTGTTCCTCATTTTCTATTCATTTCTCCAAGACAGGAAAGGAGAAAGCCGTAGCCTATGGGTACCTGTTATCCGTCCCGTACGGGTAATGAGTTCCCGTTAATCCGTACGCGTTTTAGAAATGGGATGAAGTTTGCTCTCCAGATGGGATTGGGTACCCGCCGTTGCCCACCGCCCCACCCCTAGGTTGGATCGTCAATATGACTGGACAGTAGACTTGTTAATTCAGCTTGTAAAATGCGATCAGTTTTATCATGTAAAATCGATCAACACATATTTTTTGTTGTTGCTAAATTCGACTTATAGAATACGATCGGTTTTATCATATTACACCACTTTCGTACAGATTTTCCACAATATATGTGTAACATGATAGTTAGTGATTGGTGATTCTTTGGTTCTTACATTTCATAAGTTACATGTGACGATGATAAACAGACCTGTGCATCAGTCGTGTTAATCTCCTATTCTAAGTTTCCAACTAAAGCTTCCGTGGGAAAGTCAAATGAACTATCCAGGCCTCTACCATTTTCGTGTATATTGTATTGGAAACCCCCAAATTCCAAATTTGTCTTAAAGCTAGTTATTCAACAAAATCACCCCTCAAAACGTGGAGCCCCACATTCTTCACTAAACGGTCACCTATAAATAAAACTAGCTTTAACCCTACCCTTTGGGCAGGTATTCTTTATATTTTTTTTTATAATGTCCATAGTAAACTTTTGGTAACATGCATCTAAAATAGGCATTCATACAAAACATTAAATGATTTTTTATCATTGATTGTGGTGATTCTTCACTTGTAATGCCTGTATTTTGTTGTTAATTAAATTAGATATGAACATATCTATTAAATATACTCAATATAGGAAAATGCATTTGGAATAAATTAGATTTGCCTAGGTCAAATCTCTACTCAAGACAATTAGTGAGAAAATAATAACAACACCTTCAAAGAATCACTTCAATGAAAAGCAAAAGGCTAATCTCATGAAAACAACTGCTTGTCAAAGTTGCAATAAAATATTAAGAAATCAATGTTAATTTCCCACATACTTAGCATTAAGGAAAAGCAAAAGAACTCAGATCAAGAGATTAAGGGAAAATATATAAAGAAAGATTCATAAGACAAACTGCAAGCGGAAACAACGAACCTTAACTTAATTGGGAAGTGAAGAAGAACAGGTACAATAATCAACAATCATTATGCCACAAAACAGCGTTCAGACCTATGATTACTAAGCACTCGAGAAATATGAGAGGAAAATGACTAAATGATGCAGATGGAAGTATTGTATTTGAAGTGCGCAAACAAAGGCAGTAGTGAAAATGACTTTGTATATGGCTTGTGATAAGGCTAAACGTACCTGAATCAAATAATGTTTCGCTCTTGGGTGGGCAAATCTGAAGAGGCAATACAACAATACTAGTCCGACACAGTGAAGAATGAAGGATGAACTTTATAATGAACTGTCAAGTTTCAGGCCTAGAAACCATAATGCAACCAAGGTAAAAAATTCAATCGAATAGAACAAACGTTGGATTCGAAAGTACATTTTCCCGGGCCTGAATTGTGGCCCGAAAGAGAATTTACCGCATAATTGGGTAGCAAAATTGACGGAATTCAACGGGGACGGGCACTGGATAGTAGGGGAGCCGGATCGTTGGTGGGAGTTGTACCAGCGGCCGCGAATTGTTGGAGTTCATGAGGGGACCCGATCATGACGGCAACCGAGTGCTCATCTGAGCAACAACACTGCCGGAAGGAGGATATGGAGTGGAGAAATACCGGTTATAAGAAAGTCTTTGTCGTGGGGAATATGAGACTTTTCCAACTACACATAAAAGATAGAACAGCGAGGTAATGGTGGGGGAAGAGGAGAAGGAACCGTCGTTGTAGTGCATTATTGGGTTTTAAATTTTTTCTGGAATTAACCATACGGTGGTATTGGGATCCACAATAAGAAAAAAGAATTGTTGACGTGGATAGCTTCGGCTTTCGGAAGAGATTACGTGGCATAGGGACAAATCTTAAAGCCCTTCAATATTTTTATAGATAGATAGATAGATAGACTAGCTTTAATCCTGTCCTTTGGGCATGTATTCTTTATAATTTTTTTATATTGTCCCTCGTAAATGTTTGGTAACATGCATGTAAAATAGGCATTCATAAAAAATATTAAATGATTTTTTTGTCATTGAATGTGGTGATTCTTCACTATTAATGCTTGTTTTTTTTTTTGTTAAATTTTATTTTTTCTCCATGATTTGTAGAATTGTCTTATATACTCAATTTTTTTCCATACACCTTAATTGCAAGGGGAAAAAACCAAAACATCCTTGCATACTTTTACTGATAAAAATTTCAGTATTTCAATCAATTGTCATCTTAATAACTTTTGTTCGATGATCATATTATAATATCTATCAAAACTTTAAGAAATGATGAAAATATATGAACATATCTATTAAATATACTCAATATAGGAAAATGCATTTGGAATAAATTAGATTTGCCTACGTCAAATCTCTACTCAATACAATTAGTCAGAACATAATGACAACACCTTCAAAGCATCACTTAAATGAAAAGCAAAACGCTAATCTCATCAAAACGCTGCTTGTCAAAGTTGCAATAAAATGTAAGAAATAAATGTTAATTTCCCACATACTTAGCATTAAGGAAAACCAAAAGAACTCATCAAGAGATTAAGGGGAAATATATAAAGAAAGGTTTTGGCCGAATTTAGGAGGAAAAGGACTATAAAATTCCCTTATGTAACTATTACAAATAAGAGGCGATGCTATATCTTTTACACACATTTACCAAAACTCTGCCCCACTAAGCAGGAGTTGGAGATCAATAGAAAGGAGGGGAAGCCCTGTTAGAGCTCGACTAAGATGATGCACCATCAAGTTTCTTCATCATTAGTAATGTCTTCCTGTTCTCTCTTGTATTGCTTCCTTGATCTATTTAGTGATGTGAATTCTATGATATTCATGTGTTCCTCTATGAGTTCATAAGATTGATTCGGGCTCAATTGTACACATTTTCCCCTCATTTCTTATTTGTTTAGCTTAGTATTTCATCGTTCATCGACATATTTCAAGCTAGGTAGTTCTTGTTTTGATACATTTCAGGTCCTAGCATGTGTGGAAGGATCGATGACGAGTTTTGGGATATTTGGAGGTCAAAAAGCGCGAAAATCAAAGAAAAGTCTGAAGTCACTATAACCAGAAGCGAAACAAAAAGGCAGAGATTGATAAAATAGTTAGCTGAACTCAAGAAAGAGGAATTTGGTGATTTTTGTTGTGGTTCTTTTGAATCAGAACCGGGAGCACCAAGACTAGGATCCCTAGTCTCTTTGAAAACAAGCTTCAAAAGACAGTAGTAAGAAAATCCGACTCCCCTTATGATAAAAAGACAAGAAATTTATGAGCCCAATTAGGAGTAGAAAGGAGGACAAGAATACAATTTCATGGGCTCAAACAAAAGATAGATTTGGACATCAAATGCTCAATTTATGGCCAAAACAAGCAAATCTGGTAGTACAGCATGCCCTATTCGTAATAGTGAAGTGAAGGCGTCCCGTGAACACCGAGGCGTCCAGCAAGGTTCCTAAAGTTACTGACGACATGGCAATTCACAGTCTCTAAGACCGTGAACTATGGCCATTGACCGTGAACCTAGGACAGTGAAGCGGTGCGTTTTGGACGACGCTGAGTTCAAGGACACGTTTAGGTGTTCACGTCCGTGAACTGGCCAATGCGTCCGTGAACTGGTCACTTTCGGGTAAATATGAAGACAACAGCGGGGAGAGAGAAAGGGGCTGGTTTTTGGAGAAGAAATACTTTCTTTCTCTAGGGTTTCAACCTAAAACACTAAAGGGGAGTTCTAGTGTGTGTGTGTGTGAGAGAGAGAGAGAGAGAGATAGAGAGAGAGAGTGCTAGAGTGATCTTGGAGCATCATTGGAGGCTTGGGTGGAAGATTCAAGCCTAGAATAAGAAGAAGAAGAAGAAGATCTTGAGCTCAAATTTGTAATCCCTCTCTCTCTAGAAACTCACTCTTTTCTCTCGGGTGTTGTAGACCCTTACTAATACTTTGTAATTACTTGTTTAGATCGAATGATTAAGTGTGGGTTTGCATCAATTTGAGTATTAGAGGTGTTTTCATGGTGATTGTGCATGCTCGTTCTTAGCAACCTAAGGATTGTGCATAATTGTGCTTAGCACCCTTAGGTTTATGCTAGAGTGATCTTGGAGAGAGAGTGCTAGAGTGATCTTGGAGCATCATTGGAGGCTTGGGTGGAAGATTCAAGCCTAGAATAAGAAGAAAAAGAAGAAGAAGATTTTGAGCTCAAATTTGTAATCCCTCTCTCTAGAAACTCACTCTTTTCTCTCGGGTGTTGTAGACCCTTACTAATACTTTGTAATTACTTGTTTAGATCGAATGATTAAGTGTGGGTTTGCATCAATTTGAGTATTAGAGGTGTTTTCATGGTGATTGTGCATGCTCGTTCTTAGCAACCTAAGGATTGTGCATAATTGTGCTTAGCACCCTTAGGTTTGTGCATGTTGGTGCTAGCAATCTAATTAGCCAGCTTAACCTAGCTTAGAGAGGAAAATCCCCCTTCCAAGGGAGACTCAATCGAGTTAGTTCTCCTTCAACTTTTTAAGCCACCTAACTAGGTTAATTTAGGGCAACCCAACCCTCTAGGGTGAATTAAGCAAATCGGTTAATCGCGATTAAGCCGTCCAACCTTGAGTTGAGTGAGGGAGTAAGTCAACTACCGATTGCCTAAACCGACAGGGTCGAGTGACACAGACTTTAATGTTTACCTCGGTTTAGTAATCAAGATTGTGGTCTACGACCATATTTGCATCCCTCTGCAGTTCTCGGTTACTAGTTTGCATCTAAGTTGGTTGTGATTAAGCCGCTCAAACTCCGGTTTGACGGAGAGACCTAGGCAACCACTAGTGACTGAGTGAGAGGATCGATCTCGTGACAAATCGACCTCCAGTGAATCCATCCCGTGACAAATGGATCACTAGTTGCTCCTCCTAGTGGTTCCCCTAGATTTGGTGAGTGGATAGATCCCGTGACAAATCGATTGCTAGTGATTTGATTCCGTGACAAATCGATCACTAGTTGCTCACCCCGCGGTTCACAACCACCTACGCCACATGAATCCATTCAATCCAATGAGTCATGGTAGCTAGTTAGGGGGGAGAAATTAATCCCGGGAGAAGCTCCCTTAGTTTGAATTTTCCTTTATTTACTTTTCTTTGCTTGTTGAGTTTGTAGTTTCATTAGCTCTAAACCCAAAATTTGTTTGCTAGATAACAACCTAAGCGATTGAAGTAGGGGTACATGGATCGGCCCAGGTTGACAATTTAAATACTTGCGAGTCAAAGATGCTTATTTTACTCAATGCTTGTTTCTTTAGATGCTTTAGTATTCGCGATGCTTTATTCATCTGTTACTTATATCATTGATTCTCTATATCATCTAATGTTTTAATCGTTCTATGCATGTGATACCTATTGTCTGCCAATATATCATCATGCTTAGTATTATATAGATTGTTAAGAAATTACCCTCTGGTGATATCTCATTGGTTCCACTCACGTATGGGAGGAGTAGCTACCTATCCATGCATTGTGTAGTATCAATACTTGATTGTTAGATCATCGATTCTATAGACCATCGATTATGGCTCGTAGAGGCCCACACTTTATCATGTGCTATCCTAACTTCCTTGTTCTTCATTGATTATGTAATGGTATGAAGTGAAAGTATGCATTAGCTAGTCAAATCTCAATTGCAAGAGGCGCATGCACGGGCATCATAATTGATGATGCATAGATGCATCTTGTTAATGAGAAAAAATGCATGATCATCTAGAAAATACTACCTAAACATTACTTTCCCTTGCATTGCTTTGATTGTTTTCTTGCTTGCTCTGTTTGCACTAGTAGATTAGTAATTCGACTAAAGAGAACCTGATAACGCTCTAATTACACTTATTTATTCCCTCATTTCTCGAGCGTTTTGGTCATGTTCTTGCATATCAAGCCAATTTTATACTAGGTTGTGCGCATTTGTAATGTTTCAGGTCCTAGTATGTAAATCAGGACTTTGGAACAAGTTCCGGGAAGATTTGGAGTGAGTCGGCAGCAGAGCAAGGGAAAGTTATGGCTAGGATCTTCAAGTTACAGTCTAGACTGTAATTTCTCCACCCATACCGTAATTCAAAGACGAAGGAATAGTAGACATCTTTAAAGTTATGCCTAGTCATCAATGTAATGGCCTAGCCCGTAACTTGCCAAAGAAGACCGTAGCTCTTGGTTTACGATCTACAGAAACGATAACGTTTTAGCACAAGCTATGGGTGGATGAAGAGAGTTACGACCATAACTTTGGCAGTAGCTTGCGAATCTCAGAGTATAAAGGCCATAATTTTGTGAAATTGAGGGGCTCCACTTTTTAACTTATGAGAACAAACCTAGAGAGTCAAAGAGAGAGCTAATGACCAAGAGCAACCTTTGAGGAGTTGATTCGAGCCATCGACGACCATTGGATTTCTATTCCTTCCCATCGGAGTACTAATTGATGATCTGGAGAAAATTTCACTCATCTACACGATGATGGTCGTCTCCAGCCTTGTATTTCTTCCTCTCTCTATGAAGTAAACTCTGCTTCCTCTCTCCATTGAAGTACTAATTGATGATCTGGAGAAAATTTCACTCATCTACACGATGATGGTCGTCTCCAGCCTTGTATTTCTTCCTCTCTCCATGAAGTAAACTCTGATTCCTCTCTCCATTGGAGTACTAATTGATGATCTGGATAAAATTTCACTCATCTACAAGATGATGGTCGTCTCCACCCTTGTATTTCTTCCTCTCTCCATGAAGTAAACTCTGCTTCCACTTGGCATATTTCTTGTTCTAAAGTGTGGTTAGAGACAGAATTAGAAGCTTGGAGAAGAAGAGGATGAGAAGAAGTGAAAGAGAGCTTCGAAGGAGGATTTTCAGTGCTTGAAGACCCTTATTCATGATTTCTTTCCATCTTTGCATGTCTCATCCCCCCCCCCCCCCCCATTCATGGGGTAATCCCTCAATGTCTTTGGGCTTTGTCCCCCTAAACTCTAACGTAGGGTTTGATAAGTAATATAACGTTTTAGGCTCTATTTGTGAATGATTATGACCCTATTTGCCTTTGTCTATTTGATGATTGTCTTTATTTACATCAAGTAGTGTCGGATTGTCTGTATTCCATGTGCCCTAGTTGCAACTTAGGTGATAGGTGATTATTCATTCTCATTCTTATGATTCAAAGATGAATTGAGTTTTCCTAGAGTTTTATGCTTCATATATGATTAATTATGCTTGGGCTTATCTCTCAAATTCTTTCATAGTATCCTTCTACTTAGGAGTGCATAAATTAGAGTGGATTCGAGCACCTTGGCTTGTTAGGATTATGTCTACTAGACGTCACCTATGCAATTTTAGGATGTCGAGTGCGTGACCATCGACTGGACGTTCTAGTGTGTGGATGGGTAGAACCCATTTAGAGGAGATTGGTTGTATCCCTACAATCGTAAGGCTAGTTGAAGTGACATTGGCCTAGTGGATCGGTGTAGGAGTGGGATTGGTTGCATGACCATTTAGTCAATCTCTAGGTTAGCGATCTTTGCACCTAGATCGTCATAAGTCATCCTTCTATCATTATGCATGTCATTTCTTGTAGTTAGGGAAATGGAGGCACCTCGATTAACTCTTCTCCTCTATCGACCTCTAGTTCAGTAATGGCCGACTGTCCACCTGCTAAGTAACATGTCTACTAGATAACAACCGAGCCAAAGTAGATTAGTATACCGTGACCCTTGGAGTACGACCTAGTTCACCAGCATACTACTTCACCGATCTAGGGTGCACTTGTTCTAAATTAAGATAATTAGTATTGTCGATGATCGAGCTTATATATTTGAAGCTCAATACGCGACACACATCAATAACTTGATATACTACATCTCTATGACTAAGCTATTTTCCATTAAAAATACTACTGAGAAGTTGCCATCACCTACGATGTTCAATGCCACTAACTTCTTTCTAAGTCTTCTCGTTTTCACTTCAAACTTGGCATTCTTATCACTTTCAGGTTAGTGCCCACTACTATTAGAACTATTTAGGGACTTCAATCATTCATATTGTGCGAATGGAAGAACCACTTGGTCTTTTGCTATGCCACATCAATTAAAGGAATGGTTAGTTGACATTTGATAGATATGACTGTTGGATTGAATTCTTTTGTTACAATATCAATATGAATTTTTTGTACAAAGACAATTACTTTTTATGCTTAAGTCATGCAAAATTATACTTATCTAGGAATTAGTATTTCTAGAACATGTTGGTTCAAATTCAGGAGATGAATTGAAGCTTTGAATCTATGTTATACGGCTTTCTGAAAACTAGTTGTTAGTATCAATTCTAGTGTTGGGGGATGTGGCACAGTTATGTACGCGTTCCGACGTGCTGCAAAGCAGCAGTGCGCTTATATGATTGCGCGGGAGAAGAACCAACCCTCATAGCCTAAGGCATAAAGCAGCTAGAAGGGTACTCGCAGAAGAAGATTATTAAACAACAGTGTCTCAGAAATCTGACACACAGTCACTTTGCAAGCATGGGTCGTCAGAACGTGCGTCGCCGATCTTGACATATGTCATGTTGCATTTAATACCCACCCACAGAATCATGCCTATAAATAAAGCATTTACTCCGTTGGGTGAGTGATCAATTTTTAGATTCTCTGAATAAACTCCGGACTTTCTCTCTCTAAGACTCCTCTCACTAAACCTGTAAGGAGACCGATCCAAATAAGAAAACACCATCTTGCATATTCTTCACTCACGACCTTAACCTCACGTGTCTAACTCCTACTCACAATCAGGTACAAACAAATGGCGCCTACCCGAACGAGTTGCTAATTGAGGAACAAGAGCCAGAAATCACGGCCAAGGAAATACATACGCAGATAAATCACAGAATTGGGTGATTGCGAATATGATAGAAAAAGTGAAGCAAATAATAACACTCATGATGAGCAAAAAAGCACGTCTCGTGATAATTCCCGCCATAAGCGTCAGGCAAGCCAGACCGGACCCGCCAGAGGCACATACCGCGTAGCCAAGGGAGGATCTCAATTTCTTGGAACATCATCTCTCACCGCATTACATGGCACCGCCTAAGAGGACTCTCCACCAACCTCTCTTTGCGGACATCATGGGGGAATGCATCACCGGAATACCACCCGCCCTCCCGACATACAACGTGACAACTTACACAGAAGACCATGTGAGCACATTTTTCCTCCGAATGAAACTTCAAACAAACTCCAACTCGGCACTGTGTATGATGTTTCCTTTAACATTTGCGAGAATATGTCTTGACTGGTACAACAAACTCCCAAACAGAATCATCCACTCGTTTGAAGAATTCAGCTTTCTGTTCACCACCAAATTTGCATCCCAAAAGAGGAGACCTTTGTAGCTCAAAGCCCTAGTGGACATAAGACAAAAGGAAGGAGAAAACTTGAGAGCGTTCTACACTCTATGGTTGAGGATATCCATGGTCGTCCGAGATTTGACACCAAAACAACAATGCATCACTTGATGGAAGCAATAACAAATGCAGAACTCAAGTGCACACTCTCCAAAAGACCTATTATCTCCTCGTCCGAATTAGAAATCAAAATCGAAAAGGTGATAAACCTCGAAGAGATTATGTGAGTTGGTTCAGTGCGAAGATTCGAGCCAGCTGGACCACAACGAGAGGAGCAACCACGAAGGTCCCCGCTCCTGAACTATCATAGCGGGGCGAGCAGGCCGCTCATTCTGCCGGAGCAACCGGCCCGACAAGATTGCATGATAGACATCCGATGAACAGCTTCACGCTGCTAAATAATTATGTGAAGAACATATGTATTCCACCTCATCCATGAAAAGGGTTACGACCTAAATTGGCCAACGCCAGTTAGAGCTTCGGCGAACATACGCAATCCCAAAAAGTATTATGAGTTCCAGAGAGAAACGGGCCACATGAATGAAGGCTGCCACCACTTAAAAGTAGAGATCGAAGCACTAGTCCGAATAGGACATTTGGCAGCGTGCGTTCGTGAGAACAATGATCAAAAAGGCGACAGCACGGCAATACCATTGTCGCCTAAACCAGGATATAACAAGGACACAGGTGCCTATATAGCCTAATATCCTAAGGAATAAAGCGACTAAAAGGGTACTCGCGGAGGAAAATTATTAAACAACTCTGTCTCAACAACCTAACACGCAGTCACTTCGCAAGCATGGGTCGTCAGAACATGCGCCGCCAATCTTGTCATATGTCAAGTGATATTTAATACCCACCCACCGGAATCAGGCCTATAAATAGAGCATTTACTCTAGTGGGTCAATGATCGATTTTTAGCTTTTCGGTCAAAAATCCATTCTTTCTCTCTCTCTAAACCTCTGAGGAGATCGATCCAAATAGGAAACAACATCTTGCATTTCCTTCACTCACGACCCTAACCTCACGTGTCTTACTCCTACTCACAGTCATGCACAAACACTAGTTTTTCTCCAATTTGATCCCCAGCTCATGCTTAGACACTCTTTAAATCTAGCTTAAAATTGTATTTCCTATATTATTTAGCTAGTTTGCTTTGGTTTTAAGAAATTTCAAAATCTTTCCTCATTTGAGCGTCGCAACCGTCCCTTCGGGGTTAGGGGTCGTTGCGTTCACTTTTTGGGAGTCGCCATCGATCTTACCTGGAGTGGATCGAACACTCTTCTGTCAGCTCTAACTTTAGGTCAGAACCGGGGCTTGGTCTGCGAATTAGAAATATGGAAATCTAGGTTTGGGAGTATGGTTACGTGTGGGGAAGTGAAATCACACCCAACAACGCCCAAAATTGATACTACTTAAGTAGATAAGTTTTTATGCGAGTTGGGTGTATTTTAGTAATAATTTTGTAATTTTAGGATCCCACTGGACCATTACTATATTGCTATTTCGTTAGGTATAATTTAGCCAAACGTCCATTGATGTATTAGTTTATTATTAGGTATTTTAGGTATTTTTAGAGCCTTACTGGACCACTAATGAATTTAAATCGTATTAGTTATAATTTAATTACACGACCACTAACGTAAAAATTGTAGATAAAATTGGTTGGTTAGTTGGACTCGACCTTATCGGTTGCCTACGTACCCGTTAGACAGGATCAAAGTACACGTAGTTCGTTGGAATTTAATAAAGTATAAATTTTCTTACCATGTTCCACTGATCGTGATTCTGATGTTAAGGATTTCGTTAATAAAATTTAAATAGGTTATTATGAGGTTGTTAAGAGAAACATAAGAATTTTAGTTGTTAGGAAGATATTTCTCTCTAGGTCCACTCTTCCTCCTCTGAGACATGAAGAAAGAAGAGAACTCTTCCTCTAAAAAGCGAGCAAACACCACAAAAACGAAATCCGTCTTCCTCTCCTAGATTCTGGAAACGACAGAAAAAAGAAACAAAGAGGCGTGCAACGGCGGCAGTGACGATAGCGACGACGACTAGGAGGAATCTAAAGGTTTGTTTTCTTGCTTTGCATGTTCGATTTCTACTATTTTTAAATTCTGATTATTATTTTCTTGTTTCTTTCCGGAAAAACCGACCTAAACCGAAGGGGGCTTCTCGTTCTGTTTCTCCCCTCTCGTCGCCAGCCACAGAGCATAAGCCAACAACCTCAAATCGACTGGTAAGGCTTCATTCTAGGTAGGGATTGGCTTGCATGTGAATTTTTCGATTTTAGATTCAAAATTAGGATTATGATATTTCATTTTAGTTTTGGGTTTCGGTATCTGGGGGCTTGTTCGAGGGGAGGAGAGGTGGAGGACGACACCGACGAACCTGGAGGTGGGGACAGGGCGGCGAACTCGCCGTTTAAGGTGGTTTCTCTCATTTTTATGTTATTTTATTTTATTTGCTTGGATTTGGGTCGGTACTGATCCATTTATTTTTTGATTCGGCATGATTTGAGTGTACATATTTGGGTAAGGATCTCCTACACTTAGCTTAGCATGATTAGGGAATTTGAACTATAAAAAAAAGATAGATAAACTGTGGGTTTGAAATCGGTTTACAGATCTGGGATTTTGGAGACATATTGTGTATGTCTTCTTATTTTTATACTACAAATCAAACTCCTAAAAGAGGACAAAAATAAAAATTGGCTAACTCTTAGGTAGTCACAGCCACTGCCTGTGATCTAACGGCTAAGAAAACTAATTATTGATGGATTCATATCTGAATCTGCTAGCCTAATCCATGAACTTTTCAAATAAAGTAGGGTCTGATCTTATTTCTATTGTGCTTTGTCGATTCGAATGGTTTTTTTTTTCTGGATTAAGTGTTGGAATTGTGTATTTCTGAAACTTTGTTTTGGTAAGCTCTACATGTATAAGAGATTAAATTCTTGAAGCAAGTAAGCTTAAAAACATATTAGCTAATAGTTGGGATTAGCAAGTAATTAAAAAGTGTAACTGCAGCTGTGTATGCAAATAAGTAGCATGTTTTGATGATGATATTATGCTTCTCAAACTAGAAGGTAAGGTAACTTGTACGAAAAATAAGTTGTAGAATGATAATAACAAGTACATAGGAAGCGAGTATATCAAATTATGAACTAGTACATCAGTATGCTAGAGAGTGGATGCTAAACTGGAAAGAAAAGGACTGAGCACAAAATGAAATTTCATTGGGAAAATGGTGAAAGTTACAAACACCAACCTGCCTGAATTCTTGCGTTAAAGATGCCCAGCGCTCTAATACAAAAAACTAAAAAGTGTTTCTGTAACAAAACCACAATCCCCAGCGAATCCTTTCCTCTTTTTCCCAGAAGTCCGTCCCCCCCCCCCCCCCCCCCCCCCCCAAAAAAACAAATATGAGCTGAAGAGCTATTCTTATAGCGAACAAAATTGCCCTGTTGCCTCCATTTCACTGGCTATTTGGAAGGCTGACTCACTTCTACTGTCACTCTAAGAATTGGCCAAGTGAAACCACTTCCTAAAGTGTAGTATAGCGGGTTTGGGTTTAAATGTCAACCCGGGTCCTAGATTTGATGACTACTCGGTGAATTCTTGTTATCTAGCAATGAAACTAACAAACAAACAAAGCAACTAAACGGTTGTTTTCAGGTTAAGAGAGGTCACCCGGATATGGTTCCCCCTAGACTGCAGTTAAGCCGGATTGCAATTACCAAGTTAAGTTTCTAAGATAGTTATACGGCGGAAGGTTCTTAAACAGCCTGAAGTCTCGACTAAAGGTCTTCAGACCCTCTCAATCTGAGTCTCTAGCGGGCGACTAACCTCCACCGGAGTAAACAGATTGAGGCCCTAACGAACAAAACCTCCACTACCGAAGTGAATTCGGTACAGAATAGTGAGTTGGCTCCTCGACTAAAGTCACCAACTCCCTACCTTCAATCAAGGATTCTCTATCAACCTAGGCAGATATTCTCATTCTAGGTTAAAAGAGAAACAACAGGAATTTGATCAGGATTCATGCCATTCAATCTTTCAAACCTCAATTGAATATAATCAAATCATAGAATCAGTACTTGGGTTCATACAATCAAACCTAACATACAAATCTAGGGTTCTCCATACCCAGATGAATGGGAGAACTACTCCATGGAGAAAGAAGCAAAAGCAAAATCAAACGTGGAATTCATACTGTGAAGGATGGATTCCTGCTCCTGAACGTTGATCGGCACTTCTCCAAGCTCAAGCTGGCCTCCAATGGTGATGAAGATCAAGCTAGGGCACTCGGAGACTCTTGTTCGTCGCTTTCTCTCTCTAGGAATCGCTCTGTCTCTCTAAAACTTGAATCCCCTTCTGTTTTGGCTGAAATTTGCTTAAAAAGGCATCACTGGGCAAAGCACGGTCGAGGGCACGGCCGTGCTTTGCCTCAGCCAGCCCGTGCTTTGGCTAGTGTTAATTACACGGCCACCTGTTGGGAGAAACACGGCCGTGCTTTTGGGTGGACACGGCCGTGCTTTGGTGGACACGCCGTGTAAATTCTCAGCCCTGGCCGTGTTTTCAGCTCGAGTTTGCCAAACTCAAATCAGCTCTCGGCAGTAAAAGCACGGCCTAGGAACACGGCCGTGTTCTGTTTTAGGTGTGCCCGTGTTTTGGCTCCAGCTCGACGTAATGACCTCCGAATGCCCCGAAACTCGTGCTTAGCCTTTCCTTTGACGCCTGGGACCTGAAATATGACAAAATAGCACAACCCGGCGTAAAATAGGCCAAAAATACACGACTATGCCCCTCAAACGGATAAGAACTAGGGGTGCAAATAGGTGCAATTACATCGTTATCAAATTCCCCCAAACTTAACTGTTTGCTTGTCCCCAAGCAAACCTAACTCAAACCAATGCAACTCTCCAGACCTCTATAGCAACAAACAACCCAGATCGTAGGTAGAGGACTTCCTAGATCATTTAGCAGCTTACGAGGTCAACCGACGCACAAGTCATCTCATAGCTTCTTCGGCGAGAGCACTAGTGTCGAGTCGGCATCATGGCAAATAGTGAACAGAGGACAAATGAATCGTGGATGAAGAGATTCTAAAAAACAAAGGATCATGGACTCACATTTTTCAAGGTGCTCTATTTTCTTCTTGAAGATGGTTGGAACCCCTTTTCTTTCTATTTTGCTTTTTTTCTGTTATTTTTTCTTTTCTTTTTTTTTCAAGGGTCCCAACCTGCTTTTAAGAAAATGGTGGCTCCCACCTAGCAGAGGTTTTGCGAAAGCCCGGCTCTTACCGGCCATGCTAGGAGCGGATGTCTCGAGCCTCGTGCGGGGGAAAGACATGTAAGGGAGCTGGAGGTAGTAGGTGGAAATTGGGAACGGATTCCCGTCTCCCCTTACACACTTTCGCCGTATTCGCACGGGAGACGTTATTTTGAAGCACATTTTCGAGCACTTGTTAAACTCAAAACATGAAACAAGAGTCCATGACAGGTAGAGAGTCCACAACACCACACAATTCAAGGGTCCTAAGATCACTAATTCACTCAATCAACCAACACAATGTGCAGAAGAAATGAGACTTCTTAAATGTATCAACATCCTCCATAGTGCTACACTACCTTCCTAGGTTGCATATTACTATAAAGACTGTCAATTCAAAGCATACTGAGCATGCAATTGCAAGGAACACGTACTTGGAGCCCTCAAATTTAAAATTTTGGACAGTGGACTAGGCTCCAAGCACACAAACAGATCTAATGCAGTCAAAAGGTCAAAAGATAAACATCCCCCCACACTTAAGATCGACATTGCCCTCAATGGAGAAGAGGGAAGGGAAAGGGGAACGATGTTACCGGTATGCACGGACTGCAGGAGACTGGAAGCGGACCAGTCGGAGTGAGCAGACTGAAGAGAGGACCAGTCAAGACAAGCACAGCTAAAGGAAACAAAAGAGCTCAAACACAATATGTTAGGTCCAATGGTCAGCCCAATAATACATCATCCAAAACAAAAGAAAACAAACCAAAACCAAACCGGTTTACAATCCGACTCAAAACACAAGAAAGAAAGTCAAACCGTGGTGGGGTTGCCTCCCCACAAGCGCTTCTTTACCGTCTTTTAGCTGGACGCCCATGGTGGATACTCAGGGAGGTGCAGGAATAGGTGCCTCCAAGAGCGAATCCACGTCGCTCTTGAGGTACAGCTTCAGGTTGTGGCCATGCACCCGACGGATGCGACCACCATCATCGGTCAGCTCGACCTGGCCATCTGGCAAGATGCAAGCGAGTGAGTACCCGGACGGCCAGGGTGGTCGTGGTACAGGGGGTGGGACCAGCTCATAGTAGTCTCCACCCTTCTTCCGTGCAGGCTTAGCAACCTGCTGCTTCGGCCGCCACTCCTCCTTGATCTTTTTGTTCGGAGGCGAGACTGGATGGAGTGGCGGCGAAGGAATGATAGGAGGGTCCTGCAAAATGAGAGGTGCAGAAGGATACACGACAGGCTTGTGTACCTGATCAGAAGTGGCATGCACGGGTGTGACAACAATCATAGCACAGTGATCGAATTCAGTCACAGAAAAAGTAGCTTGTTCATTCCCAGCACGCAGGATCAGTTTACCATCATGCACATCAATAAGTGCCTTGGCGGTGGCAAGAAATGGTCTACCCAGAATTAAAGGCACATCCACATCCTCAAGTATATCAAGAATAACAAAATCAACAGGATATGTGAATGCACCGACATTGACAAGCAGATCCTCTATGATTCCCCTAGGATGCACAATGGAACGATCAGCTAGCTGAATGCTCATCCTAGTAGGGCTAAGTTCACCTAGGTCTAGCTTTTTATACAACTTATATGGCATGACATTTATGCTAGCGCCTAGGTCCGCCAAGGACTTGCCTACATGCATGCTGCCAATAGTAAGAGGGATAGTAAAACTCTCTGGATCCTTGCGCTTCTCGGGCAGCTTGTTCTGCAGGATAGCAGAAAACTCCTCTCTCAACAACACTGTCGAGAGATCCCCAAGTTTCTTCTTGTTGGTGAGGAGATCTTTCATGAACTTCGCGTACTTGGGCATCTTCGACAGTGCCTCCACAAACGGTATGCTGATGTTGAGCTGCTTCAACATTGCCATAAAGTTGGCAAACTCAGTCTCCAACTTGTCTTTGTGTAGGCGAGTGGGGAAGGGAAGCTGGGGTACATGCTCCTTAACCACTGGTTGTGGCTTGGGAGCAGGGGCTTCCTTCTCCACCCGCACTTCTGCATTGTCGGCTAGAAGTGCTGACGCAGGTAGTGGTTCCTCCTATCTGGCCGGGACAGGATCAGCAGATATGGTCTTACCGCTCCTGGTAAAAATGGCATCCAGCTGCTAGTGCTGGTGAGGATCACGAGGATTCGGAATAGTGGTGGCAGGCAGAGTCCCCGGTTCCCTGGTAGTGCTTTGGCGGGCCAAGATACCCACCTGGTGCTGTAGATCTTGCAAAATGGCACCTTGGTTCCTCTGACCTGCCTCCAGTGAGGCTACACTCTGGTCCAACCTCGTGATAGTTGCCCGAGTGGTAGTCATGAATGAAGCTAGAATATTTTCCATCTTTGTCATCCGGTCATCTGGGGCAGTTGATGTTAAGATTTGCTACTGCTAATCTTAACAAATCTAATCTTACTAGCCTAAACAACTCGGTGATTACTAGTGTTCACTGACTCGACACTGCTAGTTTCAACCAAAGTTTCAACCAAATTGATATTTATATTAAGTGAACTTGGAAGTAATTGACCTGCCACTGCAATCTAAACCGACCTCGTTCAAACTTTTACTTCAAATTTCCTTTTTGAATTTTAAATAGGATATTCTTCCAAGTTCTAAGTAGGATGGTTTCTCTGGACAAAATGTGGTGTCTACATTGAGCACGAAGAATTCTTTTAGAAGAATGACAATTTGTTTGGTTTGAACACTTTCATTTTTACCTATGAACAAATGATTTTAGATCTCATCGTTGTCATGTGTCTTGTTTTCAATTGGTAATGAGTCTATTATTTGGATGAACCACAAGTTAAATGGGCTATTTGTGGAGTATGCATCGTCAACTAAATGATATTTTCATGTGGAGGCTAATTTGTGATTGATATTTCTATTCACCACGTTCATCTTGTTCACCCAGGGATAAGTTGATATATATGACTATTTACTATGAATATCATCATGATATATGGCTACTATTTTTCCCTACATGCCTATACCTATCTCGATAAATATTCTAAAGTGTGAGCTGATTGCAATGTTCTTCACAATTCCATTGATTTTGCAGTCACCCATCATGAGGCGTCTCTTTGGCATTTATCCATATAAGAAGAGATGTAATAATAGTGCTTCACATTCTTGTTGGGTATACTATGAAGTAGGAACTCATTCCAATGGAGCCATAGCCACAATGGACTACTCATAAACCTAGGAAAACCCTTGTATCTGCGGGAGGGGGACAAGATAGCCTTCTCCTCTAATTATTGAAGAGATCATCGTCCTTAATTACGAGGAGTTTTTCGACGCTTCACTAGAGATACCCTGCACTAACTATGCCCCACCATCATTCTCAATGAGAATTGTTGTCTTTTATAGACTTTTGAACCTGATATAAATGAGCACTAGCGGAAGATATTCTACAATTTAGGAGAATAAGAGAGTTGGAAGAATTCGGTGTGTCTATTCAACAACAACGAACTCCTTATTTATAGCCTTGTAAAATGGCTTAAGAGATGCCAAAGATAAAGTGAACGACACTCCCATTAACCCAAGGGAAACTCCACACAATTAACTCCATGTGGTAATAACTTCCATAACTCCAAGTCTTGGAATTAGTTTGAGCCATCAATACCAACAAGTATTGATGAGGGTTGGGAAAACGATGGTGATGATGAAGACGATGAGGAGGAAGAACTTATCCACTACATGATCTTCACGATGTCCACCCTTTCCTACAATTTCTAGAGTTTCTTCACTAAATGAAGATAGTGAGATGAGAAGACATTCTCGTTTCCCCTCAAGCATAAATGGATTGGATGGATTACTTCCACTATAGATTATAAGGACGATGAGTCTTTGATAGACTCAACGTAGTTCTCCTTTTGGAGCTATTCTTAGGTCAAAGAGGTAGTGGATGTGCTCACGAGAGAGTTCTTGGCCTCCCTCAAAATCCATGAGATATGGTATTCTACTAAGGCCGGTAAATACCTTCTCCGCTACCATGATCTTCCTGGTGTCAATCCTCTCATACAATTTCTAGAGCTTCATCACTCGAGGAAGATAGTGTGGTGGCAATACGTTCTTGTTGCTCCTTAAGCAGAGACGGATTGGGCGGATTACTTCTGCTATAGGTTATAGAGATGATGAGTCTATGATAGGCTAAATGTAGTCGGCCTTTTGGAGCTCTTCTTACGTCATGAGAGGTAGTCAATGTGTTCACGAGAGATTTATTGGCCTCTCTCATAGTCTACAAGGTCTGTCAATCTAAAGAGACCTGCATATACTATTGAATGGCATATGCATAGTTCGAGGATATATATATATATGAGAGCTTTTTCATAAAGTTGGGGATTCCTATACACCATTAGACTTTGGACCTCATTTTCATCACCACTCTAGGATTTCCATGGAACCCCCTTAGAGAGAGCTCATTAGAATAAAGGGCTTTGGAGGGAGATCATCACTTCTTGAACTACCATATTTCGAGATGCTTACTCTTTGGCTTCAAGCTTCAAGATATCTCTGTTGCAATTGATCCTCAAGCAACTGATCCTCATTCATGATAGTCTTCAAGTTCACTACCTCTTACAATAACGTATCTTTAAGCTTGAAGCCATATCCTCTTACAATAACATATCTCTGTTGCAATTGATCCTCATGCATTGATTGTTAATCTATTGTAACACCATATCCCTTCCTTTGAGGCTACTCTCTACCCATGTTTGCGCCTCCTGTGATACATATTTAACTAGTTAATGCGTGCTTTCGCTTCATGTCATTACCTAATTAATGAAGAACAAGGAAGCTAGGATAGCATATAGTTAATTATTGGCTTCTACAAATTATAACCATAGTCTATAGCATCGAGGATCTAACATTCAAGCATTGATACTATTGGAAGCATAGATGGTTCATCAAGCCTCTCATACTTGTGTAACATAAATGGGGTATCCCTATATGGTAATTTCTTGACAACCAAGGTAATACTAAGCACAATGAATATAGTAGCATACAATATAATCATAAGTATCGATGATACAAGAGCATTCATACTATAAACAATCAATGACCAACATAAGCATCGAATACAACAATCATCCATACATAGTAATAGGCATCGAAAATCTCATATATAAACACAAGCATGAGATGCAATCATATCATTCATTCACATAACAATAAACGAGATCACATCCTAATACAATCAATTTTGACTAGCTACATAGAGGAGAAGAAAGGTACAACCATTGATGATGAAAACATCTCCTTAGCTGCAGACCCCCCTACTTCAACTAGGATAAGCACTCGTGTAGAGTGTTACATAGAATTTGTGTGTTGTGCAACCTTACTCGGCTAATTGGTTCATGCCCTCTATTTATAGGGGATAATCCTGGCCTAAAATATCCTAAACCGACTAGGAAGAATCTCCTAAACCTTGTAGGCTAAGAAAATTTCATAACCAAAGCAAGGGAAAGGTGGTGGTAGGCCAGCAGTTGGACCTGCCGCTCTATTTCCTTATGGGTTGGGATTTCTGGTACATGGACTTCTGTTCCTGAAAATTTGGTTGCAACTTGATGGAGCAGGGGTTGGTTCGCTGCTTGGGCCACCGCTCATTCTTTTCTTCAGATTGGGCCCATTCTTCCTCATACGACTTGTCTTGATATAATGAAACAACTTCTAGATGACTTCCCTGTTATTGGACCACTTCTTTCTCATGAAACTTCTTAATCTTCTCTTTAAAGCTCATTTGGTCCTTTAGAGTTCTTCAATGCTTCATCTAATCTTCCCAGGTTTCTTTGTACCTTCAAAATCATCAAAACAAAACAAAAACATTAAAGAATACAAAAACATTGCATGTATTTATTAAAAGCTCATTGATCAGATAGTTGTGATTTGGACAAGAAATACCATTGAAATTAGGTTAAATACACTTGTATATCCAAAACTTTCACGGTTGTGCCAATAATATCCAAATTTCCGAAATACCACTTATATCCAATTCCTTCACATTCTTTAACGGTGTTTTTGGATATACAAGTGTATTTAACCAAAAATATATTAGGAAATGGATATATTTGGCAAAAAAACAAATTTAAAATATGGATATGAGTGGTATTCCGGGAAATTTGGATATTATTGGCACAACCGTGAAAGTTTTGGATATACAAGTGTATTAAACCTTGAAATTACTAAAGATGCATTGATAAAAGAGGAAAATGTATCAATAATAGGAGTGACAAATACTATAAATCAAGTGTCATGAACTCTTCTTACACTTCCACATGCCATGAGAGGGAAATAAGGTTAGACATGATGATATGCTTTTCTTTCATGGCTCCATGCATGGATGGTGGTAGAGTATTTAAAGAAAGCAATCTCAAATTACCACCAGAGGCAACTTTTGGGTTGTGGCTATATTCATACCTGGACCAAATTCATTGATAGCTACACGGAGTGCTTGAATGTGGCTGTCTATGACACTTTGGCCCAAGAAGGTCCAATTCTACGCATACCCCCTACAATCTTCAATGTTCGACATACGACCAAAGTGGGGGTTGACGTAGTAATGGAAAAAATTTGATCGTACAAGGCTTTGTAATGGAATGGATCACCCACGAGATCATGATGTCAAGACATCATCCTCCAGAGTTCTGCCACAATAATTGTTATGGGACAATCCACGGTTTTACTTTTGGGTGTCCTCCCCAGAAGGCCTCGTACTAATTGGGCTAGGTGGACTCTAATATACAAGGGTCCCTTCCCTTGTATTACCGATGTGGTACTTGGATTGTCCCATAACAATAATAATACACTTCCCATGATAAGGGTATGTTTGAGTGCCCTGCAGCAATCCCAAATCCAGACCAAGTCCACCATTGCATGCTATCATGAAGAGAACCAGAAACAATGGCATGGTCTTAACCAGTTGACTTCGATAAGCAATGAGCTACAACCCTCAGTTGGTCGAGATCCTAGCATGAAGGGTTTACCTCTACCGTGGAGGTGATCCAAAGAGACCATATGAAGCAATGCATCGGATGGACAAGATTGCTAATTACCTTCAAGTCCCATGTGGCTAAGGATTTCATGGGTAGTAAGCACTTCTGCTGTTCATTTTGTTTGTTTTCGATTTGTTGAAACAATGTGTATATTAGCTACGAATCTTTTGCCTTAAATAAAATTTGATTATTATTGACATCGCTCTGTTTCGGTCCTACTTTACCCTTACTATCTTATCATTTGGTATATTGCAAAAAATAAATTGTTTCAAGTGTGGGGAGGGGTTTGGTGGATTTTATGCACTGAATGTGTTTCAGTTGCTATTCATAATATTCAAAATCCTTAAAAAATTTAGACTATATGCTTTTATCTTGCTTGAAATTTTCTAAAGTACATAATCCACCTTTATTTGCCCGAGTTATTGGGATATTGATTGAAATATGTGCTACGTTGACAAAATGTAGTGATTTTTTTCTCCAACTCTTGCCAACCCCTACAAGCATTTGACTATCCATCTTATTTTGAATTGTTAAGCTTAGAGATTTCACTTGATCTAGAGAGATATTGTAGTGACTATGAATGATATTTTTATCTTAAAACAAAATTATCATTCGAAATTTTTGGATACAATGCATTTTTTGTTTCTTTTACAATTTTTTAACTTTGCTACTGAGAGTCTTGCTGTTAAATGTTCTTAGTGGGGTGAACTGTAACTTTATAAAAAAATCATACTATGACAATAAAAATATAAATAAGTTTTTATAAAAAAAAGTGTGATGTAGGCCCAATGAGTGAGGTAACCATTCATTGCATGAGGGGGCAAGAAAGTACAATTGAGAGTCGGTTCTGCCCATCTGATGTTGGTTTCTCTAGTGCAATCCCCCACCAAATGAAGCGCCACCTTGGAAATGTGTTTCAAGGAAAAAGATTTTTATGTCTTGGAAGAAGAAGAAGAAGAAAGACTTTCCTATAAAGAATTTCTCCCCTCCGTCCATTTTATCAAAGAAGAAGAAGAAGATCAAAGTGAAGAAACACTCAAACAAGACTTCTCTATAAAGAATTTCTCTCTTCCGTCCAGTTTATGTCATTTCCTCTCTCGATGGGCTAAAACCCCTTGTAATTGAGTAAGATGAACCCAATCCCTTGTAATTTAGTGATGATGTATTGTGTATGAACCTTGATTCCATTTATATGATTAGTTGATGGTTATTTGTGATATGCTCTTTCGTTAATAAAGTAATTGGATTATATGCTCTTTGCCTATGGGAGTAAACATCTAATCGGGTCAAGATTATAGTATTCATAAATTTATAAAATATTAGTTTTTTTCCCGTCCTGTTAACCGCGGATATTTATTTTATAATTTATATAAATTAATTCATTTTTATGCTTAATTCATTTTGAATCTTCTAAATATTTTGTGTTCTTGATTTATAAATGAGTTTGTAGTATGTCTATATGAAAAATTCTCGATATTTAGAACACTCACTTCTAGTTCTTCAATTTTCTAATCATAAATTATATCGCTATCACGTTCCATTTAGAACTTATGTAAAAATCAAACCAAAGCACTAAAGTTTATTATCTTAGTTAGATAATCTTAGTAAAAATACTTCATTATTGGATCAATTTATTCATCCAAATTGAAACTTGACACATGTCGTTCTCTTTACGATGATTAAATTCTCTAATCTCGACTCGTTTTCATTTTGGATGTTTGTTTTCTTATCAAGACGCATAAATTTAGTATAGTATACAATATGTACGTATTAGTCGCTAATTCTTGAAGTTTAGATTAACCTTCAATCCATGGTCATTGTTTATATGTTTGTTTAGAATCTTAAAATGAGACACTCACACACACACTATCTAGGGTTTTGGTCTTAGCATGGTGCTTTAGCGTATAATTTTCACATTTTTTATCCCTTATATTAATAATTGATAAAGGGTGCCTACAACACAAACAACTTTCAAGTGCATTTAAAATACCTTATCGTATGAACAATATTAGAGGATTTCATTTGATTATTTATATTAATTTATTATCTTATACACATATCAATTCGTCATTCTCGAGTTTCGATGAACTATCAACTAATACTGAGAGTTCATTTTATTGGATAAAAATACTTGATTGCTGGATGAATTCTGTTTATCTCAATTAAAACTTGACACACATCGTACCTTTATGATGATTAAATTCATTAACTACCAATATTTATTATAGTTTGAAACAGCAGAAATGGTTTGATCCTCTTATTTTTCTTTCTCGAACCGTGAGATCTACGAATTAGAATCCTAATGCATATAGATGCAAATAGTCTAATGGGAGCAAGAATTACCGTGAACATTTGGAACATTTCATTATTCACTTACTTTTATTATGGATGTTCATGGAGTCCCGCTATAGGATCTAATGACAATATTTATCTATCAAGACACTCAAACTTATTATGTTATATAATGTATATCAATTGCTAATTCTTGAAGTTTAGACCAACCCTCAAGTCATGATCATTTAGTGTATAATTTCAAACTTTTTAAATTTGCATTCTCTAAAATTTCTTTTATCTTTCGTGTTTTTATGGAACACAAATTTCATTACTAAAAGTAATAATTGATAAAGTCTGTGTACAACACACACAAATTTCATGTGCATTTAAAATGACATATCGCTTGAACAATTAATTTATATTTAATGGACAAATAATTTTCTTAAGAAATTTCAAAATTTATCCAAACATTGTGACATTTCAAATGCATTTGAATTATTGGATGAATTTTAGACATATATATTATTAATATATAATTATATATATTTTTTAATCCTAATTAATATTTTTGAACTCAACTCATTGACTGAAATATGAAAACAAAATTTTCTGCCTTGGATAACTCAATGTAAATACAAATTGGTTATGTTAGAAATTAAATTATTTTCATTTTGAAACTTTGATACACAAAAAATATTTTTTTTATTGTCAAAATTTTGGATGGAGTCATAGGCTCACAACCATATAAGCAAATGATTGCTTGCAATTATGTTACTAAACCCGTCCCTTTAAAGATTCTTCATTTTAACCCAATATCGCAGTTTAAACTCTTGTAACTACAAAGCTTTCTGGTATAGCTAGATATCTCAACTAACACACTGATGTTTATTTACTGCCACAATCATTGAATTTATATTTTTCTACCATGACATTGGACTATTATACTAAACTTGCCAGCATTTTTTTGATCAATGCCTAGGTTAGTAGTTGATGAAACGTGATTCTTATCGTTCATTCTCAATAAAAATTTCTCCAACGTTCATACATGTCATTTTTCAAGGTATGTTGTGTCTTATCGTAGGTAGGAATTCAAAGTTCGTCAAAAATCAATCTTAAATCACTAATAAATCTTTGATTTACAATCCTCGATAGTAACTCCAAGTCTGAAAGAAAATTTCTTAACATACAACATAGGACCTCAATAGAGCTTGGTCAATCAACATGATCTAGAGAAAATATTATTAATGTGAACTTATAACATAGTATTAAATTACTGCAAATGTAATTTCTCTTCATTTGAGGAGTTTAAGATAGAACATGAATATATATTTTCACTTAGTCGGAATGAATAAGAAGCTTTTTATTAAAAAAAATAACTATTACTACTTGGTCAAATTTATATTTAGACATTTTGCTAAATAATGCTTGTTTTATTTTATAGACCTATACTTTAGAAGAAAAGAGTATTTCATAGCATAAAATATAGATTAATATAGTTCATTTGACATAGGCGATTGATTGTCAAATGTTTGTTTTCTCTCTTTTCATATATATATTTTGCTTAATCGAAAAAAAATATTATTGTTATGTGCATGCTTGTTTAATTTTTTTCATCAAAATTTAACTTATTATTAAGTTTTAGTAAAAATGAGTAGAAAATTTACTTGATAAGGTTCAATCATATAATTTTTATTTAAACAAACACGATATATGTGACTCTCTGTTTTCAAATTTGTATTTTTTTACATGACAAAATATTATTATTTGTGTGTGTTTGTTTAATTGCATCAAAATGTAACTAATTAAGTTTTAGTAAAAATGAGTAAAAAATTTACTTAATAAGATTTAATTATATATTTTTGTGTAAAAAATATGATGTATGTCGGTCTATTGCCGCGTAAAACAATATAATGTAAAAGAAAAAAAGAGAGGAGTAATTGGATTAAAAAATTGATATATTAAAAGAAGAAAGAGAGATAGCTTCATAAATAGATCAATAACTAAATTTTTGTTTGTACAATAATTGTCCACTTTGGCAACTTGTGAATCCTTCAAGTGCTTATATGACAAGAACTTACTTTTGAATTACCATACTAGATAGATAGATTAGTCTAGCTAGTTAAGTAATTGAGAGAATGACCATCAACTTGGTTACTAGCTTAGAGATCCGTTGCTCATATGAGGTTTAAGGTGATTACATGAGGATTCTATTCAATTTGATTCTATCATAGGGTGAGGGGGATTCCAATCGCAAGTATCTTATCAATTTAGAATTAACCTTACTTGCTAGATTAATACTTTGATTGTTTATTGTTAGTGTTAGTTAAACACCTCAATTGGTTGGCTTAATAGTATTCCCGAATTGAACTATTTGTACATCCCAAGACTCATGGAATACGAACTTTGTCGCCTCTATACTACATAGCCAATCTAAGGTATACTTGTCCTAGGTTAGCTTAGTGACCCTAAGTTGTTATGAACCACTACAAGTATGTTCAAGAGCAAGAATCTTCTGCCAGTGGCGAGTATTGTTGGGTAGTTTTTTTTTCCTTTTCTGTCATAACAGAAGCGTGCAATCGATAATCCAAACCAACACGAACGAACACAAATTTAACGTGGTTCACTAATACAATGTGTGCTAGCTAATCCACGGGCAGGGAGGACAAATTTCACTGATTTGAGGAGAGTACAGGTTACAAACCAAATTCCAAACAGACAAACCAAACAAACTAACCTGACTGACCTTACTACAAATTAGGGAGATGAAGAGTATTTATAGAACTCTTCTCCTAATCCCAAAAAAGAAAACCAAACACCTTTTCCCAAACATATAAGGAAAAGGTCAAACAAAACCCAATCCCAAACCCAAACAAAATAGGCCTAAAAAAACAAAACAAACCCAAATCAAATTCAAGTCATATCCTAACAATCTCCACCTTGACTTGAATTCTCTGTCAAATACTCGATGTACCAGACGCAACCAAAGTTGCCAGATGTACCCAGACGCGATACATATTGCCAGACGTATCCAAATGCGATCGAAACCGCCAAACTCAAACGCAATCAGAATTGCCAGACGTACTAACTCCTCCAAATCAGCTGTAACAGAATCTCCCCTGCCTCCAAATGCCCCTAAGGGCGATCAACAAATCAAAACATGCAGCAAGTCCAGCTCATGTTGGGACTTGCCACGCATAACCAACTTGGTGTTATTTCCAGAACAAACGCGGACCTCCCTCGATCCGCCAAACTAGATGTAGCCCAAACGGGGATCTCTCGTGGATCCACCAAACCAGACGCGGATCGCAAATCCCAAGGCCACCGAATGAGGGTCCACCAAACTGACATCCACCGCCCCAACAGAACCAGGCTCTGATACCACTTGTCAGAACAGAAGCGTGCAATCGATAATCCAAACCAACACGAACGAACACAAATTTAGCGTGGTTCACTAACACAATGTGTGCTAGCTAATCCACGGGCAGGGGGGACCAAATTTCATGATTTGAGGAGAGTACAGGTTACAAACCAAATTCCAAACGGACAAACCAAACAAACTAACATGACTGACCTTACTACAAATTAGGGAGATGAAGAGTATTTATAGAACTCTTCTCCTAATCCCAAAAAAGAAAACCAAACACCTTTTCCCAAACATATAAGGAAAAGGTCAAACAAAACCCAATCCCAAACCCAAACAAAATAGGCCTAAAAAAACAAAACAAACCCAAATCAAATTCAAGTCATATCCTAACAATCTCCACCTTGACTTGAATTCTCTGTCAAATACTCGATGTACCAGACGCAACCAAAGTTGCCAGATGTACCCAGACGCGATACATATTGCCAGACGTATCCAAATGCGATCGAAACCGCCAAACTCAAATGCAATCAGAATTGCCAGACGTACTAACTCCTCCAAATCAGCTGTAACAGAATCTCCCCTGCCTCCAAATGCCCCTAAGGGCGATCAACAAATCAAAACATGCAGCAAGTCCAACTCATGTTGGGACTTGCCACGCATAACCAACTTGGTGTTATTTCCAGAACAAACGCGGACCTCCCTCGATCCGCCAAACTAGATGTAGCCCAAACGTGGATCTCTCGTGGATCCACCAAACCATACGCGGATTGCAAATCCCAAGGCCACCGAATGAGGGTCCACCAAACTGACATCCACCGCCCCAACAGAACCAGGCTCTGATACCACTTGTCAGAACAGAAGCGTGCAATCGATAATCCAAACCAACACGAACGAACACAAATTTAGCGTGGTTCACTAACACAATGTGTGCTAGCTAATCCACGGGCAGGGGGGACAAATTTCATGATTTGAGGAGAGTACAGGTTACAAACCAAATTCCAAACGGACAAACCAAACAAACTAACATGACTGACCTTACTACAAATTAGGGAGATGAAGAGTATTTATAGAACTCTTCTCCTAATCCCAAACAGAAAACCAAACACCTTTTCCCAAACATATAAGGAAAAGGTCAAACAAAGCCCAAACCCAAACAAAATAGGCCTAAAAACACAAAACAAACCCAAATCAAATTCAAGTCATATCCTAACAATCTCTACCTTGACTTGAATTCTCTGTCAAATACCAGATGTACCAGACGCAACCAAAGTTGCCAGATGTACCCAGACGCGATACATATCGTCAAACGTATCCAAATGCGATCGAAACCGGCAAACTCAAACGCAATCAGAATTGCCAGACGTACTAACTCCTCCAAATCAGCTGTAACAGAATCTCCCCTGCCTCCAAATGCCCCTAAGGGCGATCAACAAATCAAAACATGCAGCAAGTCCAACCCATGTTGGGACTTGCCACGCATAACAAACTTGGTGTTATTTCCATCGATAACACCAACATCAGATTTACTTCCAACTCCAAACCTCCAACTCCAAATCGACTTCTCAATCTTCATACTGATAGCAACCATTCTTACTATCAAACAAGCTCCAATCAGATACCACTTGTCAGAACAGAAGCGTGCAATCGATATTCCAAACCAACACGAACGAACACAAATTTGACGTGGTTCACTAACACAATGTGTGCTAGCTAATCCACGGGCAGGGGGGACAAATTTCACTTATTTGAGGAGAGTACAGGTTACAAACCAAATTCCAAACAGACAAACCAAACAAACTAACCTGAATAACCTTACTACAAATTAGGGAGATGAAGAGTATTTATAAAACTCTTCTCCTAATCCAAACAGAAAACCAAACACCTTTTCCCAAACATATAAGGAAAAGGTCAAACAAAGCCCAATCCCAAACCCAAACAAAATAGGCCTAAAAACACAAAACAAACCCAAATCAAATTCAAGTCATATCCTAACACTTTCATTTCATTGCTTTTTTTCATTTTCGTTTTCCTCTTTCATTTCCTATGTTGACGAGAAGAAGCACTTGCCCTCTCCATTTTGCTCTTGTTTTTTTGTTTTTTTGTTTTTGCTTATTAATGGGTGTTTGATATTCAAACCTTATGAGAAAATCATACTTTTCATAAAAAGGTATTATGTTCAACCCTTCTTTACTTCCCTTGTTCAAGTATATTGAGGACATGTTCAAATTAAAGTGTGGGTTGGGATTTGTTTGATATGCTAAGATGATTAAGGATGCATGCTCTACCTTTTTAGGGGTGTTCAAATGGTTACCATGGTTATAACCAAACCAAATAAGGTTAAATTCCGTTAACCATGGAATACAATATCATAACCAAACCGTTCAAACTAATACAACAACCAAATTAACCAAACTAAAGTTTAATCGGTTTGGTTAATTGTTTAACCAGATTAACCAATATAAAATCATATTACCATTGACGATGAAAATTTTTCGGGTAATGCAACAATTCGTAATTTATATAATGAATAAAACATAACAATCAACACGTAGTTATAGTTGAGCCTTAACAAAAATACATACAACTAAGACAATTATCTTACGATTAGTATAGAAGTATTCACCTAACAAAAATTTATGACAATGGTATGGGTTAAAGAATTGTTGTGTTTGTGTAAATTGACTTAGTCTCTTAGCAATTATCATAGGCCGGAAATGACCTTCCTTTCAAGTTTTCATCCATCATAATGTATGAAATTTATCTAAATTAGGCGTTCATATGTTGTGGTCTACACTTTACATATACCAATATACTCTATATGAGCAATATTGAGCTTTATATTTTATGAGTCTAAAAGGGATGACTGGTTAGGAGTGTCTGAAACCAAACCAAACCACCCAAACCAAACAAGCTAAAAACTTTAACCAAACCAAACCAATTATCCAAATTAACCAAACCAAATTATCCAAATAGTACTGGTTAAAACGGTTACCACAATAACCAAACCATTTGAACACCCCTACTAGTTGTAACTTTGGTTTCATTTTATGTTCGGTTTGACTAAATTTAAAAAACTGAAAGATAGGTTCCACCGAGATTTGAACTCGGGTTACTGGATTCAGAGTCCAATGTCCTAACCACTAGACCATGGAACCTGGTTTTGCTCGGAAATTCATTTGTTATTAAATATTCTACCGATTAGTTACATGGCATGCATGTACCTTGAACTGTTCATTTGCCTAACATTTGGGCAGTGAGAAGATCGATGGATTCCATTAAAGCGAAGATGCTCTCATTTCTGTTAACTGGTATGTTCTACCATGTTTATGTGAATGAATGGACGTAGATTATACACGTTGTACTATTTTACCTTTTGTTTTGGGATTTCTCATTCTTCTAATTAATGGCCAATTCAACAAAGCTCCACTTTCTCAGCATTTTGGGTAAACAGAGAATGTGGGAGAATTGTAGGGCATCTTGGGATTCTGAAGACAGATCAAACAACCCCACGTCTCTACATCAGCCCTAAGCCACAGCTTGGAAAGGCTTTCTCTTCATTCATGGCTTAAAATGTCAGAAATTGATTCTACCCAACAAAAAAAATGTCAATATTGAACGAAGATGATCCACTGAGCAAGCAATCCTATTATTTTAGACCGCATGCCTAAGGCAATAGGCAAAGTACCCCTAAGAGAACACTAAATGTTTCAAGTGGAGCCGTAGAGGAAAGGATTATGAATCTATAGAGTGAGAGATGTGGTTCAAGAGAGCTTACGGCTTTCCACAATATGGTATTGTGCTTCATCCGATCGAGTTGAGCTGATCACACACACTGCACGACTATTTTGCCACAACATATCGTTATTTGTCAGATGCTCAGATTTCATTACGAGGTACGATGCTCTCACACATTATCAATTGTGTGGCAAACACCCTCGCCCATTGGAGCCACTTATGGATGGATGATTTCGATATCACTTATTCGCTATACAAAAAAAAATTTGCGTACCGCCTTCTGCAAGATCCTTTTTTGAAGTTCTCATCGCTCGTTTCATTCTCGGTTGTGAGAGATCCATTTCAACTCCTAATTCATCATTCATTAATGAAGAACATGCCTATAGGAACTAGGAGTTGAAAAAAGAATAGCAAGTGCCACAAGAGTTTGGGTGGGGGAAGTAGTACTTGGGGAGAAACAAAAGAGAAGAGTGGGCCTAGGGGTGTTCAAATGGTTACTATGGTTATAACCAAATCAAATAAGGCTAAATTTCATTAACCATGGAATGCAATATCATAACCAAACCGTCCAAATTAATACAACAACCAAATTAACCAAACTAAAGTTTAATCGGTTTGGTTAATTGGTTAACCAGATTAACCAATATAAAATCATATTATCATCAAGTGAGAAAAATTTTGGTTAATTTATCAATTCACAATTTATATAATGAATAAAACATAACAATCAACACATAGTTATAATTGACCCTTAACATAAATACATGCAACTAGGACAATTATCTTACGGTTAGTATAGAAGTATTCACCTAACAAAAATTTACCACAATGGTATGGATTATTGAATTGTTGTGTTTGTTTGAATTGACTTAGTCTTTTAGCAATTTTCATATGCTGAAAAGGACCTTGCTTTCAAGTTTTCATCTAACATAATGTATGAGATTTATCTAAATTAGGCGGTCATATGTTGTGGTCTACACTCGACATATACAAATATACATTATAGGAACAATATCAAGCTTTATATTTTATGAGTCTAAAAGGATGAACGTTTAACTCTTGAGTGGTTATTTAAAGTATTAAGTATGTGTATATATTAGATATATAACTAATTATTTATCTGGTTAATTTGGTTTGGCTGGTTAGGAGTGTTTGAAACCAAACCAAACCACCTAAACCAAACAAACTAAAAACCTTAACCAAACCAAACCAATTATCCAAATTATCCAAATTATCCAAATTAACCAAACCAAATTATTCAAATAGTACTGGTTAAAACGGTTGCCATGGTAACCGCACCGTTTGAACCACCCCTAACCGTTTTGACTTAAGTTGTGAAATTTCCTGCAAAGCCGATGACTGCATAACTTGCTTTGAATCGCTAAATCTAGGGTTATACTTGACCTAGGGAAGATAGTGTAATACTATGAAGGATGCTTGTATATGAGAAAATAAATTCTTGTCAGATGACGGCCCTTATAATAAAATCTCCCATCGGTCTGAGTGACAACTTAAGAAAGTGTGTAAAGGGCACAAATACAACCCTTTATACATTAACCTTGTGCATGGGCTTGATATAGTAGTTGAAAGTAGTAAAGTCACCAAAGCGATTGATACTCTTACTCATGTCACGAGAAAAATAAAACCCATTAAGATTATTAAAGTAAACAAAGAAAAAGTTGTTATTAAGAAAGAAGTTCGAAATTATTTTCCAATACAAAGCAATGTTCCTTAGTGAAGTGGTCTGGTTTTTCTTGTCTTTGCTTAATCTCATAAGTTGCTAATAAACCACTACCTGTGATTGAAGTTATGTGTCAATGTGTCATCATTAATATTTAGTTAGATGCATAATTTTAAGCAGGTTCTTTTTCAGAGACAAGCAAATGCTAAAGTGTGGAGTAATTTGATGATACTTGAAATGTATTGTTTATCATACTATTTCATAGAGACATTTTCATTATTTTTTGTGCATGTTTAGTCGTTTTATAATGCATTTCCTTCATTTTTGTTTCTTTCACATTTGATAGTCTCTAGGACCATTTATATGATTTTGATTTTGGAAGTATTTCTATGCGGTTTTCAAACATTGGCAATTTGGCATGATAGAGGACACATGTGTAAATGCAAATAATCGAAAGGGAACGACTTATGACGTCAATTAAGGAAGATATGTAGATTTTTTACACACTATGCATAATGGTTATGCATATCACCGAGGGAGAAGTTGTTTTCTCTTTCCGGGTGAGTGGATAGAATATCCTTGTTGTTTAATTTAGTGGAATCTAGATTGTTATAGAATGTTAATTTGTGTTTAATATATTTTGTTGAGTTCTCGTTCCATGTTCTTGTCTTTCTTGCTTGTTTATATTTCGATTTGACTTAAGGGTGAAATAATGGTTATTTTTCTTCAATTAAAAAAAGTGAAAATTATAATGAGATATTGTCAACATGAAAATAACAACCTTGGTGTTAATGTCCACATCATTTACGGGGAAACATTGGTAGAAGGGACTGAGAAGTCTAGGCCAATTCATAATAAGGGAGGAAAGGAGGTCGTCGTGAATTTCACATATGAAAAGCACCAAAGAAGTAGTTTTTTTTTACAAAAGATAATCATATAAGATTGAGAACAATAGATCGTTATATCCTGCAATTCAGCCAGGTTTGGAAATCAAAAGATCGACATGTAGTCGGGAACAAAGACAGGCCATGTCTAGCTACCAAATGAGCTACCTTATTGTTTCGTCGACCTACAAATCGTACAGTGAAACCTATGTTTGAAGCAAAAAAAAATTGACTATCTCTTCCAGACATGCCCCTATCCGATTATCCCGAACATCCTTCCGGAGAATTTTCTCAATTATCACCTAGGCATCACTTTCAAACCTCATGACAGTGAATCCATTAGCCAAACACCAGCCAATCGCCTCCCGTAGGACCAGAGCTTCAACCATCATTGGATCACCAAGGAACGGGAAATGAACCCCCTTCGCAAGGATGACCGCTCTATCAGAATTAAAGATAACCATCCCCCTGCCGCGTGAGATCCCAACCGCACAGCCCCATCCCACATACAAATAGCCGTGTCATCTCCATCATATGTTATGATAGGGCCCGGGGGGCGCGCAAGCTGATCATTCTGGTCCCAGGGTAAGCTACGCCATTCCTACCTTGTTGGTGAAATTGCAGCATCAAGGCAGGGATCCCAAATTGTTTGCCTTCAAATACCACCCAGTTACGGGATCGCCAAATCCACCACATAACAGCCACTACAGACACCACCAAAGCAGGGTTCTGCACCACAACCAGCAATTTCTCCAGAAAGAGCGGGAACGTTGGCGAGGCAAACCTTCACCCAGGTGGGCCAGCCCAGAATGATCCCACAATGCACGAGCCACTGGACACTCCAAGAACATATGTTCTAGAGTTTGCGATGTCTCCTAGCACACCGGACATCGAGGCAAAACGTCCACCTTCTTTTCTCGCAACGCTTCCGTAGTAGGAAGAATTCTATGAAAGATTTGCCAGACAAACACCCTAAGCTTTGGAGGAATATCCGCCTCCCTCAGCCTGATCCAACTAGGCTTATCCATCCAACTAGTCAAAGCCCTCCAGTGACCATTCTGACGATCCATATTCACCGCGATGTAATACGCAGATTTAACCGTGAAAATCCCATCAGAAGTTGGATGCCATATCAATTTATCCTCTATATTCTGGTGCGACAAAGGGATGGTCTTAATGGCTCTACAGGTAGCTGGATCAAACCATTGACTAAGCTTTTGATCATTCTCCATCGTCCCTCCCCTTGCTCGATCACCTCCTCCACCTTCAAACCCTCACCATCAGAAACCAAACACGGGTTGTAGACTGAGAGAAGGGGATGTTGCTGGGGAATCCAGCTGGACGTTAGCAGAGGGGCCTTCTGACCATTACCAATTTTCCATCGCAACCCTGATTCCAACAATTGACGGCCAAAGAGGATACTTTGCCACCCCCAAGAGGGACGAGACTGGGCCTGAGCAGTGAGAAACATCCCATTGGGGAAGTATTTACCTTTATACACCTGGGCAATAAGCGACTGGGGTTCCTCAAGGATACACCAACCAATATTAGCTAGCAATGCTTGGTTGAAATGTTCAAAACGGCGAAATTCCATGCCCCCTTCATGTTTACTTTTACACAAACTCCTCCAAGAAATCCACAAGATCTTAGATTTTCCCTCTTCCACCCCCCACCAAATTCGGGCTATATGCTTGTCAAGAAGGCGACACAGAGCCAGGGGCAGCTTAAAGCATGACATAACATGTAGAGTCAAAGCTAATGCCACTTATTTAATCAATGTTTCCTTAGCAGCCCATGACAATGTTCGCCTCTTCCACCCCTGAAATCTAGCCAGAAGCTTCTCCTCCAGGTAGCGGAAAGTAGCCATTTTAGACCGGGCTATCAGAGAGGGGAGGCCCAAATACTTATCTTGGACGCCCACAGCCCCTACTCCCAATATTGCCGGCAAGAATTCCTGATCCGCCGCCGCTATATTTTTACTAAAGCACACCGCCGATTTCTCTAGATTCACTCTCTGGCCACTCAGCTCCTCGTATTCATTTAGAACCTCGATCAAATTCTCACATTCTTGGAGGGAACCTCTAATAAAAAGATAAGAATCATCGGCGAAGAACAAATGTGAGATACGAGGTGCACGAGGGGCCACTTTAACACCTTGTATAGATGACAAATAGAAGGGGAGATAACGGATCACCTTGTCTGAGCCCTCGAGAAGGGGAAAAAAACCAGCTGGGGTACCATTCATAAGGACTGAAAAAGACGTAGACTGGAGGCATTCCTGAATCCATCCTCGCTAGACCGAGTTAAACCCCATTTTTTCCAGAACCCCTAAGAGAAAGGGTCATTCGACTCTACCATAGGCCTTTTCCATATCAACCTTCAGAGCCATATATCCCTTCTTCCAACGGGTTTTGATTTTCAGGTAGTGCATTAGCTCATGCCCTAAAAGGATATTCTCCACTATCTGCCTCTCCCGAATAAAAGCATTCTGGCCATCGGAAATAATTTGGGGCAATATACAAGCGAGTCTCCCTGCCATGATTTTAGTAATTACCTTATACAAAAATTGGCAGAGACTAATAGGACGCAGTTGACGAATTGATTCAACTTGATCCACCTTTGGAATCAAAGTCAACTAAGTATAGTTAAAGCTTCGAAGCATCCTACTAGTTTCAAAAAACGAGCTCACCGCTTGAATTATCGATTCCCCAACTATACCCCAAAAAGCTTTGAAGAACTTCCCAGTAAACCCATCCGATCCTGGCGCCTGCTTGGACCCCATAGAGAAAACAGTTTCTCGTATTTCATTAGGGAGGACTTCAGCAGTCAGATTCACAATCATTTCCGGGGTAACACAGGGGTCAATGGGGAGAGCATTCACTCTTTCGTGCATATTAACAATCTGGTTTTCTGATGTGAATAGAGTCCGATAAAAATTGGTGGCAATATCTGCCTTTCCGCGCTCCTCCGTGGTCCATTCCCCATCCTCATTATAAAGACCAACAACAAAATTTCTCTTCCGACGAGCCCTTGTGACCGTATGGAAATAGGCCGAGTTCTTATCCCCCTTCTTAAGCCAATTAGCGCGAGATTTTTGTTGCCAGTAAACTTCCTCGGCCTCCCATTGCCCACTCAATTCAGTTTATAACCGGGTCACCTCTTCCCATTCAATAGGGTGAATGGCTTTTAGCCGATCAATTTCGCCTTGCAAGGTATGAATATTCCGCAGAGAATTTGTGGTACTAGCTCTGCTCCAATCATACAGCAAATGGCGGAGTTTTTTCAGCTTTTCCCATAACTGGAACATTGGGGTACCAGAGATGTTTTCTTGCCAAACGTAAGCCACCATAGCCTTGACTTCGGGATTATCTGCCCAGCGAGCATCGAACCGAAAGAGAGGGCGACAACTCCGCGTATAGGGCTTGTCCGAGAGAAGCAGAGCTCTATGATCATATCCCTGATCCGTGAAGTGCTTAACTAGAGTTTCCGGATATCGGTCTATCCAACTCTGAGAACAGAGAGCCCTGTCAAGCCTTGCACGAATACAGGCCAAACCCATACGTCTATTAGTCCAGGTGAAAGGGTCCCCCTAAAAACCCGGATCATGCATACCTAACATTTGAATAAGATTCCGGAGATCCAAAGATTGAGCAGCATTCCAAGGATTCCCTCCATCTTTTTCACTATCGCAAAGGGTAGCATTAAAATCTCCTATAATCACAAAGAGTACATCAAGGCCCTCACAAAGCTCGCGCAAACAAGATTGTTGAAATCCTATTGGTCGGTAGACTAGACCACTTTCGAGTTCCAAAATATCCCTAGAAAATCACTGGTCTACCACTAGAAAGAGAGAAGAAGACAAGGAGGAAGGAGGAGAGAGGAGAAAAAGATGGTGGGTGGGTCATTGGATGTTATGTAATTTTTTTGTGCGAGGTGAGTTTTTATTTCTAATCGTTAAATTTCAAAACAATCATTAAAATTTTAAATTACTACCTTATTTATATATATATATATATATATATATATATAATGTATAAAACAGTTCAACCTCAATAATCTCAAACCACATGCTTTACCGATTTCAACAACCTTGCTAAGTGCTAACAAGTAAGAATACTGGACCATGATTTGATATTTGTTATCTGCAATTAATACAAGAAAACACAACAGTACAAATTGTCCCAAAGAAAATGTTAAACCGAGTACTTCCCTTCCCATGTTCTGAAGAAGGAAAAAAAAAACATTTTTTCACCTTTGCTCCGCCAAATCCGCGAATCCAACCTAGTGTTTCCCTCGTTCCCACCCGATCCCTTCTAAACAAGAGAGTCTTATGTGCATCTTCTTAGCTACAACCAATTTCTCGGCTAAAAGGAATTACCCACCAAAAATCCATCTTAACTGGAGCAGCACATTCTCTTGAGAACAGACCCTTCCTGCTTAACATCAATGGTCTCTCCTTTGAGAGAAGCAGATGTACTTCCATCAGAACTTCCCTCAACAGCCCGCTTGCTCACAATCCTGTGAATCTGGCTCAAGACTTCAGTGAATGCACTCTCCACATTTGTTGCAGTCAGAGCTGATGTCTCCATGAAGTAGAGGGACTCCCTCTCGGAAAATGCTTTAGCATCCTCAGTTTGGACAGCCACCAGGTGCCTGAGATCCGATTTATTCCCAATCAGCATGACTACAATATTGGGGTCCGTGTGCTCCCTCAACTCCTTAAGCCACCTTGCCGCGTTCTCAAAGGTAGAATGTCGAGTCACATCATAGACAAGCAAGGCACCAACAGCTCCTCGGTAGTAAGCACTAGTGATTGCACGATATCTGAAATGCAAGAAAAAGAAACTCTTCAGTTGCTACTTGATGGGATTGTTTTGCAGGAGCTAAAACAAACTTAAACCATTAAGGAGTGGCTTTAAAAACCTTGGATTCCGTTATTTCTCCACCAGTTATGTGATTAGGAATACTATTGACAAACATTCACACAACGCTCCAAAAGGAATGGGAAAAGACCACAAGAAAATAGTAGTCTTGTAAACATGAGATTGCAACAGAACTCAATTTTGCCAAATTAACGAACCGTTGCTTCCAGCTTCCATGGAGCACCACAATGAACTATCAGTTGCGTGGGGGAAAAAAAAGGAAAAAGAAACCAGATGGCTACAGTTCGCTGCAATACTGGATAAGACTTAATCCCCAGCATGCACAGTTCATGTATACCCAAAAAGGAAACAAGATCCCATTTGTTCACATAAACATCCTGTAGGAAAGGTTTAATCATTGTTCAAAAACCATTGCAAAGATTTTGAGCTTCCCCTACCAACTTGATGACTCACTTCTCCACATTTTGCTTTCACACTCTTTACCTATCTTTCTCTTTCGAGGAGATAAGACTTCTCAGGGCTATTCATTTTCAAACTGCCATTACTTTCCACCAATGAAGAATTATCTGAAAGGTGCAACTAGACAGCTTCAACAACGCTCCACATCCCCACCTTCAAGAGCAGACGACCCACTCCCAACCCCCTCTGGCCCCATCCTACACCGAGAAGGAAGTTCGAAAACTGGACTTTACTATTTTACAAGAGAAAGCATGCTCGAAGCAAAGCAGTTAATGTGCTGGCACATCTTCATAAATTTGTCAACTTATGTGGTCTAAGTTTTCTAAGATTCATATGAAGGGGAAAAAAGAATAGATAGTTCCTCTGATTCTAAGATGACTTCACAATCAACCACTAAGACCAGTAAGATATGCTCATCAAAATCTGAAACATGTATACAAAGCAACTTCTAGCAAAAAAATGGCAGTTCAATTTTAAGAAACTCATAAGAATCACAACCTGAGTTGGGCAAACCACGAGAACAGACTTGAAGAATTCCAATTAACCCTTTACAACAGCTTGCACGATGATTATCCTGGACTTCAGTAACAAGACTAATTTCAAATATAATGTAGCTTTGTTTTCCAAGAAACTAAAAACCCTACCAACTTCCCATTTTTGGTTTCTGATGGACCATAATCCCTAAACACATATAGACAGTTCATGCCTTTCGTTATAGGATAGCTTTCAGATGCCTTTCTTCTTGATTGCTAGATCTTAGCTTAGAGTAGAAAGGAAGTTTACCATGAAAAAACGTAAAGCATTCATTTCATATTTCTTGTCATGTTCAGTTACATTGATGAACTCAATTATTAATAGGCATTGCTTCGAACCTCGGACTGCAGAGCATAGACCCCTATAAATAAGCTTTCATCATTCTGTTCCATCAGTGACCTCGATGATTGATAGAGATAAGAACAATGACAACTATTTATGGATATCAACACATGAACACTTACCAGTCCAAGGTTCAAACCGAGTTTTTATTCAGTAACTTAAGGAGTTAGCTTATCTATCTATAGTGATCAACATACCCATGCTCCAAACTCCAAGGTTCGAATTGAGTTTTATATTCGGTTCCTAAACGGTTAAATTGAGGAGCTATCTTCACTATTTGGTACAATTCAGAGACCCATCCAACAATGACAATGTCAAATAATCTGTAGGCAGTTGCTACCCAGTTTCAAAGGGTTTTATTTAGTAGATTAACAAACGGTTAGTCCCCTTTTAATTATAGAGGAAAATTTTCAGCGACTATTGGAAAACAAGGGACGCAAAGCAATAACGAAAGCCAGAAAATGAAATGCCACTCAGAATGTGAGAGAAATCAAAGAAAAAGGACGTCCACGAGGAGATTAGAAGCATGGCACACATAAACAAAGTTTACAAGTGCTAATTCAGCTTTTCAATCTTCACTGGACATACTGTAGCAACTCCAACAGACTAGTCAGTTCACCGAAAGTTGACTTCCTCAGGAATTCAAGATTCCAGTTATAACTTTCAGAAGTACTTTATAGAAACACCGTGTAAGAGAAATCATCTAAAACAATCAATCATGGCAAATGGCAACGCAGTGACATACATAGCAAGCACGCAAGAGCATTCAGTTGCTTAAGTTGCTCTCGTGTCAGGGAGTTTCTTAATACGTAGATCAAAAAGCATCGTTCCAGTTTCAAACATGCCAACCAGCAAAGATGAATGAATCAACAGAGACACAAGCGACAAAAAGATGACATGCTTGTCAGTTAAGATCATCCACCCAATTTCTACATTCGCTAATCAGATCAAGCATGTTAATGAAAGCAATTTTACAAGTTAACACATGTGGTTAAGCTTGAGCATAAGCCTCAACAGATCAAGAGAGGCATATGTACTCTCTCGCAGAGAAGACACGACAGAGAAAAGGTATCGGATACAGGAAGACAATTGTGGATGAGAAATCAATATGAAAGCAGATCAAAGAATCATGTATTGATAAGAAGTATAAAGTAAAAGCTTTAGAGGCCAAAACATGCAAATTCAAACGGCAAGCCAAATCATAATAGGCAACTTAAAAGGGTCACCATTGCTTATACCAGATTCAGACCCAGTTAGACACAAATCTACAGTAGCGAATAAACACCACCCGCTCTGAAACTTCATCCCAAAGGATCCAGAAGCTAGCAGCAGCAGAATCGAATCAATACCAGCAAACACACATAAGGAGAAAACCAGCACAAAGAGTAATCACGGGAGAGGGACTCAAACACTGAAAAGCTAACAGAGTAAAGAGGAGAAAGAAAACCTTTCTTGGCCAGCGGTGTCCCAAATCTGAGCTTTGATCACCTTGCCATCAATAGTCAAGCTTTTGGTGGCAAACTCGACCCCAATAGTGGACTTGGACTCGAGATTGAATTCGTTTTTAGTGAACCTGGAAAGTAAGTTAGATTTGCCAACTCCAGAATCACCAATCAGAACCAGCTTGAACAAGTAATCATAGTCATCTTCGGGTCTGTAACCAGCCATATTAGACCCCTTTTTTTTTTCTCCTCCTCTTCTTCCTCCGCAAGCTCAGTAAGCTTATTACACAATTTCAGAGTTCCCGGAGAGATGCTCGTTTCGTTTCTTCGTTTCTCTTTTTTCCTTCACCTTCCACAGTTGGTCCAGAAAAGGAGAAAATCATATATAAATAATACAACTCAGCCAGTAATTTGATTTGAAGCCAGCATATTTTAACTTACTTCCGTTTTAATCACCAGACCTCGTAGTTTTGTTTTCTTTTCTTTTTTGGCCATAGGACCCTAGGATGGTTTAGGGTGGCAACTAGAATTCTAGTAGCCACTGTGGTTACTACAATATCCTCCGTCTATTTATTTTTTTTAATCTCACTGTTAAAATTGCTTCAGGGTAATATTGGAAACAAAAAAAGAGCACACCTGATTATTCTATATATTCTACCCAAACCCTAATTCTACCCCCTCTCTCATCCAAACCCTACTTTTATCCACCGGCCGCCTCCACCACTACCATAGCGGTAGTCTCGCCGGCCGCCTCCACAAGCAATGACACACCCCTCCAATAGCATCGACGTCCGCCTCCAGGTCTCAAAAACCCCGCCATCCGTCATTGTCCAGCCGCGAATTAGGTGGCTCCGCCTACTCCGTGCAGCCGCCGCCAACTTCGTGCATCCGACGACGATGACTCTGTGCAGCCCACAATGATGACTCCGTGCAGTCGAAGACGACCTCGTGCAGCCGACAGCGCTAGGGATGGCAATGGGGCGGGTTTGGGGCGGGTTTGTCTAAACCATCCCCATCCCCATCTTCAAATACCCAAACCCATACCCGTCCCATACCCATGCGGGGGAATGTTTTGTAAACCCATCCCCATACCCATGGGTTTCGGGTACCCATGGGTAATACCCGTACCCATACATCCAACATTATTATACCTAAAATTTACAAGAAAAGTTTTAATTATTACTCTAAACGAACCTATTATATCATGAAGTCAACAAAACACGATCATTTTCTTAATACAGTTCAAAGTATATGATCCTAAAATATCTATTAATACATAATATAGAGTATAATATTTTTCAAATTATTATCTTCTAACTCTTATACATCTACTAAGTAATAATTAACTAACATAATCTTGTAGACAAGGGGAAAAGTGAAAGAGTGAAAGGAGAATTGAGGGAAATGAATTAGATTTTTATTAAAATGGCCACTCAATTGCATTTCTACTATTTATTTCCTTGAGTTATCCTCATCACCATTGATAGATTACAATTTAATCTAAATATTTTTTTATATGTGAAGAAATTCTCTTGGTGGGGCGGGTATGGGTATGGGGCGGGGGAGGTCAACACCATACCCGCCCCATACCCATCAAACCTTTTGCGGGTTTTACCCATACCCGCCCCATACCCGGTCAAAGCGGGGATTCCCCGCGTTGACTGGGTCGGGGGCGGTCGGATACCCGCGGCCATGGGTTTTATTGCCATCCCTAGACAGCGCCGCTATCTTTCTCTCCGGGTCGGCGACTGTTTGTTTCTCGGATGGTGAATCGGCGAGGGGTTCGACGACTTTGTATCGTTTCCCGCGACGGCGACTATTTGTTTCTGTGTATGGTGAGGACGGCGCACCCGCGAGGTTGATTTCACCTCCTCCGGATTCTGAGTCGGCTATTGGCGACATTTGATGCATTGGTAGTGATCTATTGTTTTGGTAGTTATCTTCTCACATGTATAGCTTGGCGTGGAATGGTAGTGTTCATTGGTATGTTTGCAATGGTAATGTTCAGTTTTATGCAATTGTAGTGTTTGCAATGGTAGTGTTCCAGTTTTGTAGTGTTCATTGGACTTTTTGTGTGTTCATTGGTATGTTTGCAATGACTGAAATTCATACCAAACTAATCAGACACAACAATACGTTGCACAATCAGGCAAAATCAATACCATTTCAATAATGATCACAATACCAATCCAATTCATACCACCAGAATCAATCCAATATGAAATTTGTACCAATACAATCTATATAGATTTAAGACAACTACCAATGCAGATCACTACCAGTGCAGCCATAAAAAGTGATTAACACTACCAATCCAAACCTCACAGAACCTTACGATGGTTTAATTGCTGGAAGTGGTCAAGCAACTCATTTTCAATATTGAATATCAATCCATCGAAACAGATATACACTAATAACACAATGTAAACACTACCAATAAAATTTAGCATAACTACCAAAACAATAAGCACCGGAATACTGTTCTTACCCAATGTAAACACTACCAATAAAATTTAGCATCACTACCAAAACAATAAGCACCAGAATACCATTCCTACCCTTAGTAGCCACGGTGATTACTACAAAAGTAGTACTCACCGCACCCTATAGTTTTGTTTGAAAACACCATTGTCAAGTTAAAAAAGGCGCTAGGAAGACATTAAGGTCGTGGCCAGCCCAGTATCTAGGCAATGCATAGGTGTTTTAAGCGAAAATAACAATTTTTAGAAGGAATAAAGATTTTGTAGCACTTTCTACTTGGGTTCAATTTGAAATGATAAATTTATAACTAATCTTATGCATGCTCGATGGATGGTATATTTTCCTACATTTTTATTATTTGTCATTAGAGGTGGTAAAAGGATTGTATTAATGGATTGGTAGATTCATGGATCAAATGGATTGGTGGATTGATCCATCCAAGCCTATAATCATTATGTAAATTTCAAAAAATTTAGGTACTAAAATATCATAATGAAAATTGTTAGGTACCAAAATGAAATTTTCCAATAAGATTTTAGTATAAAAAATATTTTTAGGTGCCAAAATATTAAAAATATATAAAGTATATGTATTAAACAATAATTTGCCATTTGGATCAATGGACCAATCCATGAATCCACCATCCAATTGGATTTGGATCAAATGGATTGGATTAGGTGGATAATTTGGTGGATGAATTGGATTGGATTCATAGATATGGATCCTAATTGTCACCTCTATTTGTAATTTTTCTTCACTAATATTTTTGCTACTTCTCTTTACATTTATTTGTTCAATTTATACATTATCGGGGCCTCGTCTGATAGGGGAGGCAAGAATTAGTGTGGGTTTGGCCTAGATTAGAGATAAAACCAAATAATAAGAATTGTGACTTTGTCATTCGTTCGAATATCATCATATTCTCGACCATCTGATTTAGGTTGACCAACATTTTCAACTTTAGAATTTGGACATGGTCTTTCAATGATTTTTTCTTTGGCGTATCTAAATGTTATGGACAAGATATTATGAGCATTTAACATTTTCTTCAACGCAATCAAAACATTTTCACATATAGAATTCAATTTATCATATTTATTGATCGCTTATGTTCGTATTTTCAAATTATTTCTTCATTAAAAACACGTATACTATGTACCTAACATTCAAACTATGATTGATCTTGCCACACATAAAATTAAAATCGAAGATACTATTAAAGATCCTT